TTATATTTAATTAGTTGTCTAATACCCATAACACAAGCTCTGCTTTGCTTGGTACTACATGGTGCTGTGTGAATTCAAGATTGATATTATTACAGTAATTGACGACGACGACCTCGGTGGTCTAGCGGTTTAGCACACCGCTTTACGTCCGAAGGTCGTGGGTTCGATTCTCGCACGGCACAAACATTTGTATTCATGAGTATGATTGTTTGTATCGGTCTGGGTGTTATCTATATTTAATATGTATGTATTTACGAAAAAAAGTCTATGTATTTGTATCAGTTATCTAGTACCTATAACACAAGTTTCAGCCAGTTTAACTTGGGTCTAGATGGCGCTGTGTAAATTGTCTTGAGATTATTATTATTCCTAACTTCCAAAAAAAAATCTCCCTTCTTAAGGAGAGGAGATGGCAAATTACCCCCGGCAGAAGCACAGTCGGCCGGAGTTCAGGGCCCCAGGGAGAGAAACCGGCGTACAATGCGGGCAGAATCTAAGAGCTATAGAATTTAATTATTATTATTATTAATAATAATTGAAATTAGAGAACTATAATTACATAATTATGAAGTCAACTCCGAAGGCGGTATTAATCATTCAATAAGCTTATAATTAATACACAGAATAATTACTATAAATTATTTATAAATAGGGTTTCATTGAACAATGGCCGCGATGACAAGTTATTAATAACTTTCGCAAATATTTTCGTGTATTGTATTCCCTAATAATCATGAGAGCGATTTTCGTTCGCCTTACAATTGTTTGGTGATTGTATGTAATTATAAGACCAGTATATGAATTAGTATTGTATAGGTAAAGGTATATATATACTATTTGATCCTGCGACTTCGTCCGTGTGGAGTTTAACTTAATTTTTCTAAAATAAAAATTGCCGAAGTTACTCCATATTACATCAGCTACCTGCCAAAAAAAGTCCCGTCAAAATCGGTCCAGCCATTTCAGAGATTATCCGAAACATACAGACAGACAGACAGACAGGCAAAAATTGTATAAAATGTTATTTTGGTGTATGTACCGTATTTATATTCATATGCATGTAGTAAAAAACGGTTATTTCAATACTACAAACAGATACTCCAATTTTGTCTATATGTAGATATAGATAAGTACAAAAGGCAGTCTATCGCTAATCCAATCTCTTCCAGACACTTGTATCCAGAGCCATAAAACATATTAATAAAAAAAACTTTGCGAAGAGAGTATTTATAAAAGTATAATAGATCGCGAATCTAAATAAAATTAATATTGTCATAAATGAATTATCTGCCCTTTACTGTTCTATTTTAACGTATCCTAAATTGTATTCACACACTTAAACTTAAATTGTAAGTAAGAATAAATTATTTAAAAGAGCAACACACAAGTTTCTTGCTTGTTCTTCTTGTGATGAGACAGCATTCCGAATGAGCGGTAGATTAAAAAAAAAAAATGTTTTGACTATTCAAAAGTGCTTCAATGTAAGTTTATTTGAATAAATGATTTTCTATTCTTATTCTATTCTATTCTATTCTAAAAAATACCATTACGTTTTACGTTATGTCACGGATGCAAGATCTCTATTATTTTTAATTACACCCATTCTTATTTAAGAAACACAATTCGCGCCCGGCCGGTTTATTTTTAATGATATTGAACGCAGTTTAGGTGTATATAAAATTATATATACATTTTCACATAACAAGGATGAGATAAAATATTTCTCACGGCTATATCCGTGTGCATTGACGCCATAGGCTTTGTAGATTTGGATGTACTGTTTATTCTTTACTAGCGATCCGTCCCAATTTCACACGGCTACAATAATCTCACTCTCAAGTATTTACTTTTTTATTTTTAATAATATATAGTCCATATTAGCTGACCTGGCAAACGGTGTTTTGTCATAGAAATTAATATCGCTATTAAAAAATGAATTGAAGGTTGAAAAATTAGGGTTGTATGTATTTTTTAATGCCGAATTGAAAAAATAAGGGCAACAAAACAAAGTTTGCCAGGACAGCTAATCTATACATTTATTATACATATAAATAAAATTGTAATGTCTATTTGTAATTTTGAAATAACTGTTTTTTACAATATGCATGTGTATACAAATACGGTACATACTACAAAATTTCATTTTTTACAATTTTTCTATGTCTCTCTGTCTGTCTGTCTGTCTGTTTGTTTGTTTGTTCCGGCTAATCTCCGGAATCGTTGGACCGATTTTGACGGGACTTTTTTTGGCAGGTATCTGATGTAATAAGGAGAACTTAGGCTTCTTTTATTTTAGAAAAATATAGTTAAACCAACGCGGACGATATCGTGGGAGCAGCTAGTAATATATATATATATGATACAACCTCCCAGGCGCCACTACTTCATTAGAGTCAAAATAGTAAATACTCGAGGTATATGATATGGACTTAAAATAGATCTGGGTACTTATATAATAAGAGGCAATTATAACACGAAATGGAACTTGTATAATTATTTTAATAATAACAGGATGTGAATATCTTATGCCCAATTTACACTCAGCCCGAGTGGGCAGGGAAGTGAGCAACGCGAGAGTGTAAACACGAGAGGAAACACTTCCCATGTCATTGGCGCTGCCACTCGCGCTGCCCGGCGCTCCCTCGATTGTCGGTTTTTCATGCGCGAGTCAAAGGACTGGCAGCGCGAGTGGCAGCGTGTTTTTACATTCAGCCCTCTCGCTCAGTTGTCGCCCGGCAATATTTCCGGCAGCGCGAGTGGCAGGGGAAGCGGCTGAATGTAAACGTAGCATTAAATATGGAGTTAAACAAAACATCGAAACCTTATTAGACGAAATTCTATCGTATCGGGTGCTGGTGGTATTCATCTTCTTAATTATTAATGTATGTATATTTGTATATATTTATATCTAAATATATATAACTCAAAGGTGACTGACGTAGTGATCTATCAACGCACAGCCCAAACCACTGGACGGATCGGGCTGAAATTTGGCATGCATGTAGATGTTATGACGTAGGCATCCGCTAAGAAAGGATTTTGATTAATTCTACCTCAAAGGGATAAAATAGGGGATGAAAATTTATATGAAACTGTCAATTTTAAACCGATCGGGCGAAAATTTTGCATGCATAAAGCTACTATGACGTAAGCATCGCCTAAGAAAGCATTTTGATAAATTCCACCCCTAAGGGGATAAATTAACGCAAACTTTTGTTAAAATAAGTTTAATATAAGCACTGTGAATGTAGTCGCAGATTCGACTCCTCCCACGGTACAAATTTTTATATTCATGTGTATGAATATTTCTATACAAAATACCCAGACCATACAAACAATGACACTCATAAAACAAATGTTTGTAAATTGCGAGAAATCGAACCCGTACCAATCGGAAGCAAGGCGGTGTACTAAACCGCTAGACGATCGAGATCGCCAGTTTTTTAAAACTGGAATAGCAAACGAGCTTGTAGTGGTGACAGTGGTGGTAAGTGGTAATTATCATGTATATAAGAAGAACCCTACGGCCATCACATCACCCCTCCGATCGATCCCCCGTCCAATTCAAACGGGGATCGAAATTACGACGGCCTGAGCCGAGGTTCGAAACCCTAGCGGTACCCTCAGACTAAAGTCATATCGATCCGGCGGGAGTTGGCCTTCAGCCACTCCATAAGTCCTTCCGCAGTGCCATCTGCACTCGTCCTCTATCGTCCGCTGAAGCTGTAAAGGCCAGCTGCGGCCAATAGCATTAGAGTAATCCGAAAAAATATACATCAGTATGTGAGCTTGTCATCATAACTCATGCATTGCCATTTCGAAGGACTAAGATGTTTTTGTATCCTCTTATTTATGATAATGATATGGTGCACCCTGCGCTAACGGTTTACGCTGGCGGGGCACCAGTGGAGGATGATAAAATGAGGACAAGGTCAGATCAGTCACCACATCGTGGTAAATTCACTATTAGTTTATCATGATGGTTTCCAGGGGGAACCACGTGGATGTTTTTCTTTTGCACCGTGTAATTTCACTGTCATAGCTCAACATTCCACTAAACACAGCATTTACAGAGCTGCTTTGCGGCTGCAAAAGGGTAAGACACAGATTTGTAATACTTTTTACAAAGCCTATCTTTGGTTAGACGTCATATACCTGGTAGCTTATTAGCTCTTGAAATCGTAACTAAATACGTAAATATGTTTATTGCAATAATATTACAAGAATAATAAATGTACTTAAAGCAATAACATACATATTCATTATTGCTACATTTCATAATAAAAATATTTTTTACAACTACCTTCATTATCTCTATCTCTATCTCTATATCTTGAAAGCAAATAAACAGATCGCGGAATCAAAAGGAAAATGAGACGTATACTCATTACCATATTATAGAGCAAATAAATATTCCTATAAGACGAATTAATTTATTATAAAAATAACATGTCCTATTTCTCGCGACGATATAGGCATTGTAGGTAAAAAACAGCATTTTAATAAATCTTCCAACAAAAGGTACTACAAAACTTGTTTACATAATTAAAGAAGAAATTAAGGCTAGAAGCATTGTGTTTATTTTGTAAATTCTTTGACAATGGGAGTGGCTTATTTTCTGATTCAGTGTAATATAAAAATAAGATGAAAAACGACAAATAAACTGTATAATTTATTTTTCGTGTTTTTCATTTTCCACGTTTTTTTTAAACGACTCCCACCCACCCTGAAACAATTTTTCGTTCTCTCATCTTCAGCGTTATAAATTTGTTATGGTTCTTTAATATAGGGCCAACAGTGCAAATAAACAATAGAGCCATCTAAATACTTGGCACTTAATAAACATAGGGTCATCTAGTAGGAGTAGTAGTTTTTAGTAATCACACCTAATATCATGTATTTGGAAGGTATATTTTTACAATAGAATACACGGAATAATGCATGATGACAAAAACAGTCAATTAAAAATCTCAATCTCAATTAATAATATATTCACTTACCTTGTACTTCATTTCAGTACAACTTTCTTTCTTCAGAAACACACAAATCACTTATAAAAATAATTATAACAGTCCAAAATAATAAAATTTCTTATTTACCATTTACTAATTTAAAAAAAAGAACGGTCACTATTAAATTCGCGAATTGAATGTTACCTTTCCTTTATTTTTTTAAATTAAGTTTTACAGCCCTGGAATTATCTTTCAGTCAATATATTAAACGAAAATAAAAATAATATTATTTTCGCGCGCAAACCAAACGCATCCGCGCATGCGTGAACTGCGGCTGTGCGACAATGGCGGCGGATACAACCAGAGCGCCGGTTTTGCTTCGTGCAGCGAGCAGCGAGCAACGACCCAATCTAACAACCAGCGAGCGATGCAACGACGAAGGTGAAGGTAGGCCAAAGGTGGCCGACAGAAGCATGCTGAAACCGCCACCGCAATGTCTCTATGCGTCGTTTCACTTGATATTGCAAATTTTTTGCTTAGACACGGAATAATTAATTTAGGCAATAATTATAGAAAGGCCATTAGTAACTTCAATGGCGCCAGTGGTACTAGCGATTTAAAACAACATCTTACTTCCAATGGTCCTGTTATTCTTATACGATACAAATATTAATAAACATGGGAGTAATTGTTTGTACAAGGTACTTATTAGGTAAATTTATTACATACATTTCGACTTAATAATGTAAAGTTGCAACAATTATTTAAAAGAGCAACTCACAAGTTTCTTCCTCGTTCTTCTTGTAATGTTCTTTTTTCTGTGGATGAGACATCTTTCCAAACGAGCGGTAGATTTAAAAATAAGTGATTACTATTCAAAAGTGCTTAAAAGTAAGTATATTTGAATAAAAAACCCACACTACAAACTTATTTTGAGAATACTGTGAGAATTGGAATAGGAAAAAAATTGGGGTCAATATTTCAATCAAACTTTTTATGTAATTGGTAACAAACTGATGGCCCACTTTACGCTAAATGGTAACCGTTGCCTATACATATACATCTATTATATTATCTGTGATATATATGTACAGCACTACGGACATCACGTTATCATATGACTCCCGCCATTTCAGAGGACTAAGATGTCGTGCCTTTTATCCTGTATGGTAATTTCACTGCCTAATATGACCCTATAACCGAAACACGCTGCTTGGAGGCTTATATAGATAAGACAGAGGTACACCATAGATCAAAAAAGTATTTCTGTTCTGTGGAGGTATGTACCCAAGCTGAATACTTTTTACAGTCTACCTCTGGTAAAATATAAATAATATTGTCACAGTACCAAAACATTTGGTTATTGTTCTTTTAGTTACATAATATAATAAGTATATTCAGAAGGCGATACTCATGATTACGGCTTGCCTTATTAACTGATGCATACCCCACAGTTTGACTTCTTGTTCTTAATTATATTCATTTTAGGGTTTTTGTTACTATTTGACTTCACCAGCTTTTCAGAAAGCAGAAAGTTTCAACTCCAGTTCCGTTGCAGTTGGGGCTGATTTTATATAATCCATACATTTTTTTTATAATTCATACATTTAATAATATAAAATTGACGCAATAAAATCATCATCATTAGATAATATAAAACAAAGTCGCTGTCGCTGTCTGTCCGTCCCTATGTATGTTTAAATCTTTAAAACTACGCAACGGATTTTGAAGCGGTTTTATTTAAGATTCAAGAGGAAGGTTTATATATATAATACATGTACACCCGTGCGAAGTCGGGGCGAGTAGCTAGTTTACAGATAAAAAAAAATTTCATTATTTTATTGAGCGTAAAGCACAAATTAAAAAATTTAAACAGTTCTTACAAGCAATTTCTTGCATATAACCTGAGCATAAACGTTTGTTTTAAATAAATACGCAATATGAAACTGAGCTAACCAATATCGCGCTTTATCTGTTTTGCTCATTAATAAACTACAGGCGCAGTTTATTATTTTCATGTAAAGAATTTTTTCCTCTTCTTCCCCTTATAGTTCTTTCTGATTTCTTTGTAATAATTAAAAACATTATTTTATACAAGTATTAATTTATTTTTAATTATCTACTCGGTAAATTAAGTTTAATTATATGTACATTTTATTTGCTCTTTTTTTTCGTTTGTTGTTTATATTGTATTTTTTACATTGCACTGAATAAAATATTTTTCTTTCTTTCTATTAGAAGTGTCTTCAATTTAAATATTCTTTTCTATAATATCTACAACTATATTTTTTTAAATATTTTTTTTAGAATACAGTTACAAGTGTATATTCTATTTAATATTAAAAACATCATATATGTAGCTGAATACTAGTTAATGAGCAATTCTGTAGACAATAATTGGATGAACAATAGATAATCTCCTATTTTTCTAGCGTCAAATTAAAATATATATATATTTTTTCTTCTTAAATATCCTACAAAAGCAAAACATCAATGAAATCATATCTCCTTATAAATACCTCATAAAAGGTATACATGGTACTTTATCTGATTATATAAAGTGCTGCTCATACCTAATATAGTCAACATAAGAACCTTCTTTTTGTTCTCAGTCGGTTAAAAATATTATAAAATCATAGGACCCTGGTTTGTGTGTTTCTATTCAAAGATTCTAATAAATACTCAATCGGCTCCATCGAATGATCATTACAACAACTACTCCTTCAAGCCGGGTGTAAAATATAAATGTTGTGGAATTGTAGAATAAATATAATTTGATGTTTATTTCTTTAGCATATTATTTTAGTCTTGAATTTAGTTTAGCACAACGATTTTTAATATGGTCACATTGCGTAGAATTTCATTCATTCCAATCCAAATGTTCATTCGTTTCATTCATTCATACTCATAGCTCATCATGGTATTTTTCTTTGACGTATAATAATATACTTATGTTTTGTCACAAATTCAATAATTTTATTATTTTATAACACACTGAAATGTCCCGTGATCCCAGAAAAGATTATTATAGGGACCGTGATCGTGATAGAGATCGTGACTGGGGCCGTTCAGACTACAGGAGAGGGCCGCCAAAAAAACGTTCTAGGTCTAGAAGTAGGAGCCCCAACAGAGACCGCATTTCCGTCAAACAACGCAGCCGCTCTCCAAGGAAGAACGACAAAGAAATCACGGATATTCTGATTGAAATATCGAAACTACCAGAGCCAAGTGAATTGTGGGATAACAATCAGTTCCAAGATACCGGTTTCGCTGGGCCTCCACAGCCGTCGTATCAGGCCATTCCGCCAGAGGTAGATAAACATGACAAAACATATACAAATTTAAAAACATGCTTTAGAAACGTTTTTAAATTTTTAGTTAATTGCTAGTTTAAGATGTTCTTGCATTATTTTATATAAATACACAATAATAGACACATTTGGCACAAAACATAATATAGCACATAATATTTAAAATTCTTGTGGATTTTAAATATTATGTGCTGTATGTTATTTTTTTCATTTAAACACATACTACTTTTCTATAAAACATTTAAAATCTTTGCTTCTTTTTTTTAAATGATTGAATGAATTATTTGATACTGAGATTCTTGCATAGTAGAAAAAAATTATGTTGTATAAGTTATGATAATTTATTACTATTTTAATATTATTATTTATATATAGTAATAATGTGAAGAACATTCCTCATTATGTTCTATTAAAAAAAAATGTCTTAAATATACCATTTATGAAAAAATAACAATCAATTTTCTTCTGGCCAGTTCTTAATCTAAACTACTTACGGAACTGAAAAAAAAAAGATCTATTATGACAGTATAAATGTGTAATCTAGATTTTGATTTTAAACAATCTTATATTCCTTATTTGTCATTTATAAAAAATCTAATTATCCTTTTAACTCATAATAGAAGTGATATAATTTATGGCATTTTGGCAGGTAAAAAATTAATGCTCAATGACTTTGTTTAGTTAAGATTGAAGTATTAAAATAGAAGATGAAAGTATTCATATAATTCAATACTAGTTTCTCTTTATTTTCTTTTAAGCCAGTAATGAAATAACCCATGTTAATAGTGTCATAATAATCTCACAATATACCTAACTTGAGTTGAATACTTAAAAAATAAATATTAAAATTGGTAATTGATTTCGATATACCATATTTATTATAATAAAAATACATTTAGCCATTTATTTAGGATATATAAATGTTATATACATTTTTTTAAAGTTATGCATATATACTAATATTATAAATTTGAAATTGTTTGTCTGTATCATAACTTACAGTTAAATGCATTTAGGCATCATATGGGAAGTAGCTAATATAAATGTATTTGTATGTATATATAGTTCATGCCATACCTTACTGAAAAACTGTACTTTTTAAGATAGTTCCAAACCCTCTGTTTACTTAAGCAAACACTTCTACACAAAGGATCTAAAATGCAATTAGGCATTAAGTGGAAAATAGCTAGTGTAAGTGTTTTTGTATGTATATATGGTTCATGTCATACCTAATTAAAAAACTGTACTCTTTACAGGGAGTTCCAAACTCATCATATGGATCAAACTTCCAACCACCATACTCGGGCATCTACGATGACTTCCCACCTGTAGCCTCGGTCCCACAAACTTCACATCTACCAGACATGGCAGCGTGGAATCAGATGTCTTTGCCCCCTCCACCACAAACACCCATGCAGCCACCTGTGGTCTTCAATGTTGAAGATCAGATTAAGAAAGAAGGTAAGTGATATTATTTTTAGTGGTTGATAATAATTATGTCAACTTTTATTTGTGTCTTTTTTTAAATTTACAAATCAATTTTCTAATCAATACAGGAACTTCATGTGACATTCGACTATATTTCTTAGCACAGGTTACAGACATTTTCTTGTTTGAAAAAAATAACAATTAGATTATTAGTTGTATTTCTAGGTGTTTCTGTATTAACCTGTAAACCGAGCGGAATGTATAAATATGTCAAACGTCAAACTTTTGTGTATGTGTAGGACATATGTATTCTATCAATTCTGCTGTGCCCTGGAACCTGGAGCGAGTGGAATATTTCATATCAAAAATATATACATTAAATTATATTGTGCTGATGTGCTGACACGTCCTAGTGAGAGACGGTGCCCATTATATGCTGCGTGTAATTAAAAAAGGAATTCCCCATTCCCCAGTTAACAGGTTAATAAATTAGTATTATAGTCATCTCTATTGACAGAGTTCCATGCAACTTGTGCTTATTTTTTATAATTCTATTGTTTAATAAATACTTAATTATAATTAACAATCACAGTGCTAAAAAATGTATCCTCAAACTTAACAATTTATATAATGACAGGTTTGTTTTTATTTCAATCTGAAGGACACCTTAAGATAGATTTAGATTTGGATAACCAAGAACAATGAGTACAGTACAATTTAATATCCTATATGTGTATGAAAATTATGTGCGACAATAACTATGGTCAAATACCACACCTGGCAAACATATGGTTGTTCCTTTTATTGTCCTGCTTACCGTGACTGCCGAATTATTGTTATAACTATCTTACTTTACTATAATACTCAGTGGAATAAAGCTAATTAATGCATTTAGCCAACAATATTTGTATGGATTGTACAATTATTATGTTGGCAAAATTATCTGAGCAACTTATTTAAAACAGGGCACCAGTACAAATATTTCATATGCATTGCATTCAGTATCTAGACAACGTAAGAGCCTGCACGGATGAGAGACGTTTTGCAGAAACCAATGAAGCACAAAATTCCTCTTAAAATTAGACACATAATGTACACACAATACAAGTGTATGGATATATGTGTGTACAATATGTTGATTAAAGACATAAGGTAGTCCAAGTGTGTCCCTTAGTAAAGACTTTATTTAAATAATTATTAGTATTATTTTTATATTAAACTGTATTTAATATTACCTTATACATATTCATTAGTGTATTAAAAAATAGATGATTCATGAAGCATATCTATCTAAAAAATTTGTGCACCAGTATCACCATAATATATTACATTGTCAAGTTTCCAGATGGGCCACCAAAATGATTTGAATATATATCTATTAATATATTGGACATAGGATGAGTATAATTATCATATAGCTGGGAGCAAGCGAAACCCAGACTTCCAGACTCCCTGTTACCCTAAATCCTACTTAATTTATATATTGATGATATTCTTTATATAGTTGCAGAAAGTATGTATAATCTAAATTTATATATTTATTAAATATTGCACCGAAAATCCACAACTAACAATTTCTTTTCCAGGTTTATCTATTACATTAAAAAATATATTAACCTAAATACAATTGAAATAGAAATCAAACTGCAATGATGTTGATTCGTCGTTTGGAGAAGAAGGTCTTCAGCGACTGAAGATGAAATTTATACATGCATCAATGTGATCTTTGTACACCTTTAGCCTATATGCTCTAGTACATATATTTGCTATACATACGAGTGTAATTTCACACTAGTTGTCTTATATTTTCCACTGCATGAACACTTTTTGCTACAACACTGTGACATTACACTCCTGAAAAATATTCTATTTGACAAATATACATTGTCCTCACAGCTGCAATAGAGTCAGAAATGCGTCACCAGAAAGCAGCACTGTCCAAACAGCGCGAAGACTACATAAAGAAGACGTCTATACTCAAAAAAGAATTAGATACACTGAAAGAGCAGAGGAACGAATTGCACGGCGACTCGAAGAGATCGCCCAGCCCGGACACGAAGAGGTTTCTTAAGGAGAACACAAAGTTACAGGTTTGGTTCTGTAATGCATTTATGTTCATAATGTTGAGTCGAATACTTAGTTGGATACATGAAATTACTGCTTACATTGTTTAGTGCTTGCGCATACGATACGATGGGAGGTAATCCCTTATTTTGTTAGATTGCGTTACGTTGTGTGGTGTTGTCTGTGTAGTTGGAGATCCAGAACAAGCTGAAGACCATCAGCAATGTGGTTGACATGCTCAACGGTATCATCGGCGAGGAAGCGCGCGAAATACCCGAATCGGATGATTGTGAACGTGCGTCCAAACGCAAGTCCAGGTGCGTTTTATTTCTCCTTCTTTTTATGAAATTCAAACGTTTTGTTAAACTAAAGAGTTATTATTATTTTAATTGCTGATATAATTTCCGCAGCCATGTTTTAGTTTAACAAGATTATATATATTTAATATTTTCTAGCGGTAAGTATGTAAATATAAATTGAGTTTATTACTTTGAATCCCAATAAGCAGGAATGCACAATGCAAATTGCGGCTTTACAGTGAAGAGAAGAGCTTTGCTTTTCACGTGATCAGTGATGGCAACACCATGGAAGCAATAGAGGTCATCAGCTTGAGTGCTACTAATATTCACCTGGTAAACCCCTAATGCCATGTTATTGTAAGCTTTTAAATTTTGCTTAAAGTATATGATTTAAATTGTGATTTATTTGTTAATATATAGTGTTGAATTTTCTTTAAATGTAGTTCCAAGTGGAATCGTATGTCGTCGGCCATATTGTTAATGTCAACAAGATCTGTCAAAATTTCTCTATTATTATTTGCCTACTCTGTGAATTAATTTAAAATGTGGTAGATGAACGATTTGACTTGGACGCCTCAATAGACAATTGTAAAGAAAGATTTGGTCTGTATTTAATATATTAAAATATATAATACTTTTATTTTTGCCTTTTATTACCCGACTGTATATTTTATACGTTTTCCGTCCTATTTATTAATTGTACTATTTATTTAGCTGATAATTTTGTAAAAAATGTAACTTATGCAAGATTTTTTATTTATTAAAATGTAGTGGAAAATTATTGTAAATCTTATTTATAAAATATATACCTAGCCATCAAATTCTCATAGAGCGCCATGGAACTCAGGCTGATGAATGAAGCAGGGATGGTTGCTTGTATAAGTATAATTGTGAAGAAAGTAACTTTTATTTTATCCTCAGGATATAGGTATGTTTGTAAATAGAACAATACAGTTTCAGTATCGTTATTGCGGTTTACTCTCATAATAAATTCCGATTCAGTGTCATTGGATTGTGCTTTCCTATTTCTCTTATTTATTATCCTTTCCAATCATTGAATAATTGCATATTTAGTTGTCAATGAAAGAATTAACTTCACTGTTATCGATTTACTCTGCATTTCAAAATAATAATTTAATCCTAGATGGGATTGAGATTAATAACGTTTATAGGAACTTTTTCTAGCTAGGACTTGATTGTCATAGGAACTTCAAAACTATATATAACATCTCGTATGGATGGTATTTGTTGATTACCTCAGCGAGGTAATAGTTGATTAATTTGAAATTAATCAGAAGTAGTACTGTTGCTACTATAGTATAACTAGTAGGACTGTAGTATAACTATAGGCTATAAATAAGATGAATATCTTTCATTATTAACTATTTATTTTGTACATTGATACCGTTATAAAATAAAATTACGCAATATAAATTTTGTTCCCAACTGTTCGTGCTAAAAGTTATTTATTTTGTCTAAAAATATTTAAAAAAAATACGTCAAAAATATTTAAAAATACAAATACAATTAAGGTTTTATTGTGCAAATATTCAACGTGGTTTTTGATAATAAAATTTTTTCGTTTTTGTATCAATGAAGATCAATTGTGCAACTGGTAGCATGTATCAAATTTATAAAGAAAATATAAAAACTTTTAGAATGAATAATTATTAACCGGTTTCTTTTAAATCGACGTTACTTGTATCAAATAAAAAAAATGAAAATTAACCGAGAAATTTTATATAAAAAAAAATCTAATAATTTTTCTACGTGCGTTTATACAAATATACATTTTGAACCTTGATTTTAAGGTCGTTTAAAAACTAAAACATTTTAAGTTTTATATATCATTTATTTAAAATAACTGTCTATATGTTTATGCTTCATATTTATGTCAATACCCGTTTTATGTCATAGTTCATATATATCACATGTATTTACAAAAAAAATCTCAGTATTTATATGAGCTGTCTAGTACACATAAAAATCTCTTGGACTAGATGGCACTGTGTGAATTGTACTGATATATTATTTACGCATATACATTATTATAATTGAAATAAAATGTATGTCTGATTATAAGGACTGGACTTCTATAATCACTACGACTCATTCTTATTGTAATTTCTTATTATCTTATTGTGCATTTAATATTTTCATTTTAATAAATTAATATAGTTGGTAGTTTGTATTCACACATTTCAACTTAATAGTGTAAAGTTACAACAAATATCGAAAAGAGCAACAGAGCGAGTTCTTGTGATGAGACAGCTTTCCGAATGAGCGGTAGATTAAAAATGATAATTGTGACTATTCTTCTGAATAGTCACTGTTATCGTTAGTTATTATTCTTAAATTTAAGTATATTTGAATAAATTATTTCTATTATTTTCTATTCATTTAAAACATATTTTTCTAATACTTGCTAATAATGCATTTGTACTTCTAGGTCTCCAAGCAACCCGAAATTCAACTATGTGTACTACGACCCAGAGATGCATTGGTGCCGGGTATGCAATGAGTTTCCGCCAACTGCAAAAGATTACCTGAATCATTTGCATTCACCATCCCATCATAAGTAAGTTTTATTTATTAGTAAATTCAAAATTATAAATTCAAATTCAAAAATTATTTATTCATGTAGAACATTTTAGCCACTTATGAACGTCAAATCTTTTATATTATATTTTTCCCTACCGTCCAGTTCAGTATATAGATCCAAAATTATAAATCTTTGGATTTGTCGGCTTTACTATTACATGATGTGCATGTATCTAATATATTAAACTCTCGTGTCACAGCGTTTGTAACAAAACTCCTTAATGGCTTGACCGATTCTTATGAAATTTTGTGTGTATATTCAGTAGATCTGCGAACAGGACATATATAACTATTTTTCATACCCCTAAGATATGATTATGTGTATATTCAGTAGGTCTGAGAATAGGACGTAGATTTGAAAATAGTCTACGGATAGGACCTTAGGACCGAAATGATAGGGGTGATCCAACCCTATTTTTTTTAATATGAAGTTTGTGTAATGTTTTGTTAATTGAATTAATTTATTTTATATGCATAATTAAAAAAGATAGTATTCTGCACTCCTCTATATAAACTATACGTATGCGAAATTTCATACTACGGCCGCGGAATTTTCGTAAAAGGGGGTACAAAGTTTTTGCTTCACGTATAAATATATAGATTGCGTTGTGATTTAAGAATGGCTGCTGCACATATGGAGGCTCCGTGGCATACTGTGACTGGAGTCAACGAGGGCTTCCCCAGCTTTCCCTCGGCGCCCACCAAGCGCACACCCATCAGAGGTAATAACACATTTTGTTACACCAGTCTGTAGTTCCGAAGGGGGTGAAAGGCGATTGTTAGTAGTGTGGACTGATGATAATGGTGCACCCGCCTGCGCTAACGGTTTACACTAGAGAGCACCAGTGGAGGATGACAAGATAAACATGAGGTCAGGTCAGTTAGCCCATCGTGACAAATTCACTAGGAATTTATCACGTTTTCCGCCTGAAACCGTGGGAGGCCAACCTGATATGTTACATTAAAGCCAATGTAAACTCTGCTTGCATTATGAATTGTCCAGGCTTCTTATAATTAGTATTTCATATTTTATAATATACCCATTTAAATATTCTGTCAGTTATTTATTGATTGTTGTTCAAACAGGTTTACAATTCTTCGTGCCGTCGACGGCATGGTACTGCAAACTGTGCGATCAATTCATTGGTGATCTGCACTGTGCATCCGCGCATCTCAAATCAATTGTACATTCCAAGAACTATATTGTAAGTAAAAACATTTATTCTTTCACAAACAAGTAGTAGAAAATAAGCTAGAACTTCTTCAGAATTATTTAAAAAAATATATATCTATATATATATAACTCAAAGGTGACTGACATAGTGATCTATCAACGCACAGCCCAAACCACAGGCATGCAGGTAGAAGTTATGATGTAGGCATCCGCTAAGAAAGGAGATTAATTCCACCCCTAAGGGCATAAATTAATGCGAGCGAAGCCGCGGGCAAAAGCTAGTACATACATAAATTGATATTAAAGTTGATACAAAATAATTTTGTATATTTTTTTTAGAATTTCGTAGAACAGAATCCACACTGGGAAACAGATTGGATGTCGGATCGTCAGAAGGCTTTTGAAAAATCTAGAGCATCGAAATCCAAAACCGAAGAGAAACCCCAGTACACCGCTCATACGATCACATTCAGCAAAGATGGCTTCCAAACGAAACGTAAAGAAACGCCCACTCCACCGTCAGAAGAGAAAAAGAAGAAAAAGGATAAGAAAAAGAAGAGTAAGAAGAAGAAAAGTAGCAGCAGCAGCTCGTCGAGTAACAGCAGTAGTTCGGACAGCGAGCCAGTCAAGAAAAAGAAGTCGAAATGTGAGTCGACGGCTTGTACGTTTAACCGTATTAGTATAAAAACGATATTTTAACAATTTTCTTAATTTATATTTATAGAAATAAATACAATTAATGTATCCGTTTTGCTATTTTAAATTACCAGCTTTTCAATAAATGCATCTGAAATAATATATGGTGCAGGACATAGATCATAAACTTTTTTTTTTAAACTACTTACTTTCCTAATTTCGAAAACGGCTGACCGAGAGTGACGGGACCTTCACTCACAGATAGCTAATGTTATAAAAAGTAACTTAGGCTACATATTATATAATTCTATGCCGGAAATCGAAGCAATTGACGTATGCATGAAGAATAGTGTCAAAACATTGTTTGACGTAACTTGAAAGGACGTAAGTCGAGGATTGGTTTCTAGATTCTATATATCTAATATTTGTTTTAGCAAAAAGTGAGAAAATCGAACCAAATGACAAGAGACTGACGGAGTGGATGTCGTCCATACAGATGGATATGTTGAACGACAGCGACAGAGAGCTACTGCACACGTTGAAGAGCAAGTAAGTCATATGAGAATAATCTTACTAATATTATAAACATAGAAGTTTGTGTGTGTTGATGGATGGACGTTTGTTACTCATTCACGCAAAAATTATTGAATCGATTTTCATGAAACTTTATATAACTTGTACATCAGAATACATAAGCTAGAAAAAAAAATTGGCTGGTGAAATCACGGCTAATAAAAAAAAATATATATATCGAATTATCTATGTAAAAAAATACTGTTACTCGACTTGTACAATTCATAAAAATTGTTGTAATTATGCTTTAATTACAACAATTTTTATGTAATTAAATTATTGTATTAAGCTATTCATGAAGTTTCTTTTTAAATACATTATATAGTAGGTAATTATTTACGGTATCATTTTGTAATTTTATTTCTATATTCTAACAATTATTACAGAATTAAAACGGAAAAGCACGATGACAAACGTCGTTCGCCGGACCGACACGAGAAAGAGCGCTACATTTCGGACAACCAGCGCAAAAATAGGTAAGCTGTTTTTAAATAGATAATGGCGGTCTGAAATTAGCAAATGTTCAGAGTGCATGCATAAAGTACTTTTTTCTTCTATGCTGAATATCTTTAATTCCGCATTGGACTGCCGCACTGTACTATTGGTTAGTAGCAATCATGCACTCTGAATATTTGCTAAAAACATTAAATCATTTTAACTAGACTTACCTTTTTAGCATTCAATATATCTCTATTAAATTATTATCCTTCATCTTTATTAACATCAAATCTAAGTTTTTTTTATATAACTCATGGTAAACGATTACCGTGGCCTATGGATGCCTGAAACACCAGGGATGTCACGTGCGTGTTTCCGACCCTTAAGAAACCTTACTATACTTAAAATTACCCTTTAAGAATAGTATTACGTTTGGCAACCCTGTCTATTAATGGACAATTGATTTCACGCTTTTTTTTTTGCTTGCTTATCCCTGGCCTTGTCAAGATGGTACGTTTTGTCCGCTAATTTATAGGTGCTTGAAATTAATTATTATATATTAAATATACACTATTTCATTAAAAATGTAACTATATTGAATCAGCTCAGTCGATATATTATGAATATTTGCTTGCAATTAGCTACAATTATTTTCTTTACGAAATATTGTTCGCATAACAACAGAGAATCGGAGAGACGCGAATCTCGCTCCCGGGACGATCGGGACCGACGCGGGGAATCCCGGAGGAGAGATGACCGGCGTGATGACAGGAGAGACGACAGAAGAGATGACAGGAGAGAAGAAAGAAGAGACGACAGGAGAGAAGAAAGGAGAGACGACCGGAGGGCAGACTCTCATGGCCGAAACACACCGCCGCGTGACATCAAGAAACCGGAGATTAAGAAGATGCCGTTCATTGGTTTGTATTTGACTGATTTTTTATATAATTGGCAATCAAACTCGACGGCCTCGATGGTCTAGTACACTGTTTGATTCTGATGCTCGCGGGTTCAATTCGTCGCACGATGCAAACATTTTCATGAGTATGATTGTTGGGTATTTTCTATTAATTTACAAAATGAAATGTATCGTGAGTATTTATATCAGTTTTCTAATATCCATAATACAAGCTCTGCGTAGCTTGCAATTAGATGGCACTGTATGAATTACCCTGGTTTATGTGTACTAAATATATTTTGTTGTAAATACATACATAATATACATAGGAATACTAACAATCATATTCATAAATACAAATGTTGTAGCAAACGAATAATACCACTCGCAACCATCGGAAGTAAAGTGGTGAGATAACCCACTAAAGAAATTTCGTTCATTGAAAGTACAATTTATCTATCACAATATCTTATATTTTTAGGTAAAATGCCAGTATATAAACACTTAGGCAAGAATTCAAAATTGGAGGACCAAAAAAAGGAAGAACAGAAGAAGAAGGAGGAGGAAGAAGGAAATGATAAGAAGCGACGCGAGGAGATGGATGCTGAAATACAGAAAAAGGTATATATTTTAGTAATTACTGATATGACTGTGCTACTTTGTATACATTTAAAATCATATGTGAATATGTACGGTCACATAAAGAGATGAACTTCTTAGCATTCCATGGATTCACCGTGCCTGGGCTATCGTGTAGCAGAGGGTAAAACTCTGAGTGATTTCCGAGACTTGTGACCCGGGTGTAGGTTTAAGGGGCTGCTGCCGACGTAACCCTCTTACCTCACTCACAACCGCTCATGTTTCTCTCCCTATCCAGACAAATCTGGTAGGAGCCTGCTAGTGCAGCATATATCTACGTTCCAATATAGAACTTACTGCAGTTCTAGCCGGGCCAAGATCTTTTAGAAGATGTAGAGAGATTTCACTGGTATACCCTCGCTCTCACTTCAAACCACATATAAATCAACTTCAGTTAGTTTCAGTCTTCAATGGTAAATTTTAAGTACTCTATCAGAAAACATTAACTTAATAGGTAAATTATAGTCTGTCCCCTGCAATATAAGCTACACTGTGTAGAGGTTTACAACGATCTCTTTTCTGGTGTTAGTAGTTGAAAAATTACGTTTGCTAAGTTAATAAAAATAAATAAACAATTTAAAATAAATAAATTTTTATTGAAAAGCTATTAATTTGAAATTACAAATAGGTACATCAAATTTCTTTACTTTTATAGTTAACTCATTTGTTCAAGGAACATTTTTTGTAATCGGGATTAGTGACGGCACTGATCCTCGAATTACCAAAGCTTCCTAAAATTCTCCTCCGAAGAGACCAAGTTCGGGTAGTGCACCGGACCCTCCCACCGCGATGTATCTCCTCCATCCTTTAGGTCGTAATAGAGTGAGCACATCCACAAATCGTGGTAAAGGTTCTCCTCCGATTTCCCGCAACTGCAGCCGCTCGAATTGTAGTCTTATGGCTTTTACCGAAGCTTACCGAAGCAGCCGTGTCCAGTCAGGATCTGTGGCGTCTCGTAATCGGGTTCGACCCACGGAGACGCGAACCTTAATAGCCACGTTCAGAAAATAAATGAAATAAAGTCGGTGACGTGCAGTGCGACGGTAAAAGGTAGTCGTGAGCATCACGTCTAACAATTATTCAGAACACAGTGTGCTGTATATTCGGTAGAACACAAAAAAGCGATGCGAAGTCTCGCCTCAAGTTGAGTGGTTCGATGCCGTTTGCGAGACGGGGATCGTCGACAGTTCTCATAGTGAGTCTCTCGCAGGTGGCAGAGTTCAAGGAGAAGATAGCGAAGGCGCAGCTGGAGCGCGAGCAGCAGCAGGCCGCCAGCGAGCTGCCGCCGCCCGCGCTGGCGCTGCCCACGCACCTCGGGGGCCTGCTGCCGCCCGCCGCCTACGTCGCGCCGCCTCCGCCCGCCCCCGCACCGCCGCCAGCACCACCGCCGCCCCAGTCAGTACACCATAGACGTCATCCAAATCATCATCGTCGCCATCGTCATGTTAATTTAATTATAATTAAACTGATTGAAATCAATAGAAAATTTAAAAAGTAATCGATTGCTACTGAAACTGGTTATAACTCCCATACTATCACGAATAGTACGGTAGAACCTGATCCTTCTCAAAATACCAAATAAATCATTTTGGATTTTTTAATTAATACATAACACATAAGTTTTTTTTTTAGTAAAAAAATTAATATAATTGTTTCAACACAAATATTTTCATAATATGTACTCTCATCTCATATTTCATTCCACTTCATCTCTTTCAGATCTAACTTGCAACCGAACCTGCCGAAAGACTTTCAAGATGCCCTCGACATTATATTTCCTTCGGAAGTGAAGCCGGATATGAATCAACCGGATCTGTTTGCGATGTCAGGTCTCGGATTCCCCCTTGGGATGCCGCCTTTCCCTGGCCTGGGAATACTGGGCCAAGCACCGATGCCTCCAATGTTCGGATTCGACCTCAACGCCCCAATATTCCCTCCCCGACCTCAGCTGTACGACACACATGTGCCTCTAGTACCTAACCAGAAGCCAAGAAATAAAAACTTCAAGAAACACGATGCGAAGCAGCATAACAAGCAAGTGAATAAGCAAGCAAACAATCAGCCAAAGACTCCAATGGTGAAGAAAGAGAATGAGAATGGAGAAGTTGCAAGGAAGAAGGAAGAGTTAGACGACTTGGCAATGCTGGGGATTGACGCGTCTGATGTAGGAGCCGGTATATAATGAAGTCTGAAGTTAGACCTGAAATTGAAACGTACACTAAGAATTAATTGAATAATAAATAGTATTATTATGTTTTTGGTATGTTTTCATGATACTGATTGTTACATTGTGTATGTATTTGTATAAGAATAATGGAAGGGCCAAAAAAGGTTACACACTAAAATATAAAAATTGTTGATTTTTGGCGATTAATAGTAAAATGAGGAGATGTGAACACGCAGTAAGTTTGAAAAAACGTGATCTAGTTTTGACTTTGACTCATCATCATCTACTCCATCTTTATCCCAATTATGTGGGGTCGGCATCACGCTGACTTTGTTTAGTTTTAGTAATGATTGATGCGGTATGAAAGTAATGCTGACGGTGCATTATTTTAATGCTGTTAGCCGCAGCTGGTCTTTACAGCTTCACCGGACGATAGGGTTTTGTTTATATATTTCTATTTTTAAGAAACATTTCGTTTGAAAATCGTCGTAATTTGTATCTTGTTTTAATTCATGGTTCAAAAGCAGGTTTATCTGATTTTTAATTTTATTTGGTGTGATCGTATGAAGGTGCTTTATGCGAATTATGCAAAAGAATATTTATAAACAGCCGAATTTATTAGGTTTCTCGAGCCTGTGACTATAATATTAATATGCTGATAGTATAAATTACGTTTTGCACGCTAATTGCACTAAATGACTATATAAATCAACATAACGAATTGTAAAAAAAATCAGACACCTACAATAAAAATGACACCAGTAAAAGAATACCTAATATTAATTAAGCTATGTTGACTAAGTATATATAATAAAAAAATGTTAAATGAATCATTAATTGTGTACAATGACTTGTAGTACGAATTCAGATGGTTGATTTCAAACAAATTCCGTTTGATAATCAAAGTATTTAAAGGAAAATTGTGTTCTTAAACACATTGTCGTTAGAGCTACTGACTGAGTTTGTTTACCATTTATAACTATTATGTGAAAATAACTGTGTATAATGACTTGTAGTAATGAATTCAGATTATTGATTTCAAACAAACAAATCCCGTTTGATAAGCAAACTATCTAAAGGGAAATTGTGTTCTTAAATAAGTTCTCGTCAGAGCTTGTTTACCATTTATACTGACTGAGTTTGTTTACCATTTATAACTATTATGTAAAAATAAAACTCATTAACTATTTATAATGACTTGTAATAACGAATTCAGATTGTTGATTTCGAATAAATAAATCCCGTTTGATTAATCAAAGTACTAAAGGGAAATTATATTTTCTTAAACACGTCGTCAGAACTGCTGACTGAGTTTGTTTACCGTTCATAGTTTTTATGTAAATTTAATAAAAATCATTGACTGTGTATCAATGTAATCAAGTTAGGTATAATTATTTTGTAAAAATAAAAATCATTGACTGTATAATGACTTGTAGTGACGAATTCAGATTGTTGATTTCAAACAAATACATCCCGTTTTATAATCAAAGTATCTAAAAGGAAAATGTGTTCTTCTAAAATACATTGTCATCAGAGCTATTGACTACTGACACGTTTCTTAATCTTACATAGTATAAAATAAAGTTGTCTCCACTGTCTTATTATCGTCCATTTATAATTTTACTTTTTAATTTCTTGCATTGGTTACGATCCATGAATTATACGGCTATGTATTAGATGTTATTTTTAGGATACTTTGTCATCTATCAGCGATTAATATATTTTTTTGTATTAATAAATATTATTAAGTATTCCCGACTGGTTTATTTTATTTTATTATACTAACTTCTGACAACATCTTTGTGACCAATATTGACTGTCAACGATGATCCCGAATAAAGAAGCTAGTGGTAATGTCTTGAAAATACCTAAAGGTACCAAATAAACTTAATTTGCATTATTCTGAGGCGTAGGAATAAAGTTTTTTTCCTATTTTTGGGGGTGTATTCCAAAAATAAACCCAAGCAATAAATAAAATTTTTAATAAATAATTACAAGGTAGAAATGACGATCACAGGCTGTTGATTATTTTGCATTTTTTAACTACCCACTTTTTTATAACCATAGAGTCAAGATATTCTTAATTATTTTTCTAATATACATTCAGATTTTCTATAAATTCGTCTGTGGAACTATTAACCGTATTTAAATTTGGAGGATGAAATATATGACAGTAATAGAACAGGTTTTTTTTATGGATGATAATGGAAGGATGCACACACCTTCGCTGTTTACGCTGGCGGAGCACCAGTGGAGGATGATAAGATGAACATGAGGTCAGGTCAGTTAGCCTGATGGATGGTTTACCGAGGGAACTACGTGGAGGTCAACCTAACAAGGTACACTGTTATCAATGGGGTTATTAGTTTGTTTGAACGCGCTAGTCTTAGGAACTACTGATTCAAATTGAAAAACTCTTTGATAGTCCATTTGTCGAGGAAGGCTTTAAGCTATATAACAACGCTACGACCAATAGGAGCGGAGCTGCAGTAAAAAATATTGCAAAAGTTGGGGAAACGGAGTCGAAGTTGTGCGGGTCAGCCAGTTACTAACAATCGTATTCTCCCCAATAATAGCACTCGGTAATTTTTCTTTCCTGTTACAAAAAATCATTCCAATAGTTAAGGAAATAAAAAATGGTAACCTATCTAGATTATACTGGACAATATTCTTGCTTTGACAAAAGTATCCGGTTTTAACTGGTTATTGTTTTTATCGTTAATTATTCACATTCATGCCTACTGTTGTTTTAGTGGTTAAAGATAAGTCACGATATATATCGTATGACCCACAGAACCCGATGTGGGTAGCCCGTACGATCGATTATAGTTACAGCAAAATATTTACCTTATTGTATGTGATTTTGTTTTAACTCGAAGATAGCTATGGTTCTAAGAATTAATTTAGGATACATTTATTTGAGAAATTTTATTTATTTTAATAAAGAAAAAAATCCACGACTACGTCGCCAGTAAGAGATAGTATAAAATAAACCATTGTATTTAGGAGATATTGGCTGTATGCAATATTAAATTAAAATAAAAAATTTAAACAATAGACAATTAAATTAAAATATCGAAATTATCATTTAATTCCATGTTAGCAGTGCTATTTTCAGGTAAGCGAGAAATAGGACCACGTTATAAAAGTATTCTGACTCAAAAGTGTAATAAAGAACAATTACCTGACTGGCACTTTATGATGCAATTAGAGCGGTTGCACACGTCATCAGCTCTCGTATTAGTACAATGTACGAGATGTAAGCTAGGTCACAATGTTCGAACGAAATTAAAGTTTACATTAGAACCCGAAATGGAAGTTCGGTTTCTCGCAGTTCTGATCAAAAACGATTTTATATTACTAATATTATAAACGTGAAAGTTTGTGAGTATGGATGGATGATTGTTACTCTTTATTTTGATGAAACTTTCCAGTAATGTAGCTTATACATACATCAGAATGTAAATTGGGTGAAATATCTATAATGATAAATGTCAAGTAAGTGTGACGCAAACGAAGTCGCGGTGGTCAGCTAGTCAGTATTAAAATTTATTAATCCATTCTATTGTACATTCTAATTATATTCATGCAAAAGTATATTACATTTATTATCTGCTTTTTAACTTTTCACGTCTAAACGGAAGGCTTATCTGAATAGAATAGAAATAGTTTTTATTCAAATAAACTTAATATAAGTACTTTTGAAGAGCCATATTTTTTTTATTATATCTACCACTCATTGGGAACGCAGACTCACTAGAAGAATTGCAAGAACCTTGTTGTTCTTCTGTATACATGATGTTGTATGAAATTTCAAGTAAAGTTAAATTATTTGACGAGAATATACACTAAACTTTTTCTTTTAATAAAAACTAACGATGTCCGAGATAACACTAATCACAACATAGTATAAGACAAAGTCGCTGTCGCTGTCTGTCCATCCCTATGTATGCTTAAATCTTTAAAACTACGCTACGAATTTTAAGCAGTTTTTTTAATAGATAGAGTGATTCGAGAGGAAGATTTATATATATAATACATGCACACCCGGTCGAAGTCGGGCCGTGTAGCTAGTCTATTATAAAACACTGAAATATGTAAAAAATATTTCTATGTTGCTTAATAACTCTTTAAGTAAGGACTCACTCTAAGGATATATTTTTTTTAATGGAAAGAGCACAGTTATTCTCAATATTTGGGATTAATTAACTAATCTAAAAATCTCCTGTACATGCACGCTAACCAATTTGCACCAATCAAGATGCGAATCTGAGACTATAGTATGCTCGATAAAAAATAAAAGTGTACATCGATCCCTGACTGAGATTACGCACTCCCTAGTAGGTATTGTCACTATCTGTGTTTGTGTCTCACTGGTTACGTGATATCGCCATATATGATTATGTCAGAGTTATATACTGTGTCGTCATCATGAATTTCACGTCACGAAAACAAAGTTTTCATGAATGTTAAATACCCAGCCAAGCCACTTTATCTTCTCTGTCTATTCACATAAATATTTTGCAGTTTTGTAAAAAATATAATTAGGAGACAGAAAGGATGAACTACAAAAATTTTGATAAACTAAACTTTTTTTTAATATAAATAGTAATTTTATGGAATTGGATAAGTACAGAATAGTAGATAGCGTGTTGTTTTCCTGCCCCTATTCTACATTATCTTACCCTGTAATGAATCTTGTATTCCAATGAATTTAGAAGCGCCTGAAGGAAATCTACTAGCAAAATTCGTTTTTTCGCTAAACATATTTCGAATTTATTGTATACCCCCAGAACTTACTTAATACATTTAAATAGGAGGGGTGGGATATAGCATAATAATAAATACAGTTAGATAATACAGATATGGATATAATCGATTTGTCATGTTTTGCAGTTATTCTGAAAACTTTAAACAATTAATTATTACGGTTGTGAGGAAATTTGTCACAAACGTCATAGGTAGGAATGTGATGTATATTGTGACGTTTGATTTTATATGTTTGTAATATGAAATAATAACTGTGCCCGCGACTTTGTTCGCGTGGAGTAAACGGCAAATTAGAAATTTCCATCTTATTTTATACAAACTTTGAAATGTTATATTTATTTACATTTAGTCAACATGAATGCGAGACAGACAGAGAGACGGAGTTATTTTCGCATTTATAATATTTGTATGTAATATTATGTTATCTATGATAATAATATTAGTAAGGATGAATACATAGGATCGCGGATGGCGATGCAGTTATATGGGCGGGAAAATGGTTCACGTACAGTTTGTTCGCGCAGTCTCCGTGGCGGCCGGTCGTTTTAGCTTCTTTCGCCTACTATTGCATCAGACAGCGAACGTAGTAAGTTTTAGTTATACCGATATCTATTTTCATATAATTCTTGATGTGATACGGTGCATAACTTATTTTATGAGAGAAATTGTGTGTAAATTTTATATAAATTCATCTAGAAAGTAAATCGTGTTATTCGGTTTAATCAGCGACATTTAATTTTAGAAGAGAAAAGAAATTAGTAAGTACACTAAAATATTATACACGATCATAGTTAAAAAATATTTACTTCACTAACTAACACAAAATATTCCTCTTATTATTTACCACTTTATAATTCTTCTTAAAAATATTTATATTATTTATTATATGCAAATAATTTTATTTGCAAAATACTTCTCTAATTAATTTCATCAATTAAGTTAGATATCTAATTATCTTCATTCATTTAATTAATTATATAATAGCTAATTATTTTTATTTAAAAATCTATTTATTATTCATTAGTTAATTATTTTTATTCAAAAATTAATTCCAAAGTTTTATAAACATTTTTTAGATTCTTTTTTCCTTGTTTAGAAATCGGTTTTAGTAACGTATACATTTCAAATTTTCTTTCTTATTCTAGCTCTTTGTTTTGTATGTTATATGTCTTTATTATTATAAAAGTGTAATTTTATTTTTAAATGTAGTAGTTTACAATTTAACAAATACCTAATAGATTTATGATATAATTATGAGATTATTATCTAATATTAAAATACTAAATCTACAAGTCTATTTATTGTATGTATACTAATACAAAATAATCAATACTTACGTCTGTCTATACATTACATTACACGCATGACACAGTATGTAAAGGCGATTTGTTTTTTTATTAAATTTGAACACCTGAGCATCGACGTACTAGTTTATTAAGTCAACACAGTTGTTTTTTCTCACTTTGTCATATCGATTTTCTATAGATATTTTTTTATTTATTAATTTAAATGCACCATATTTTTTTAATGTGATATTTATTTAATTGTTTATTTATTCATGAACAATTAATACATTGTGTTTGAATGTTGATATGAAGTATAAATTTTAAAGTTGCAAAATAATACATTAAAAAATGTACTAGACAACTGATATGCATATATATTTTTAAAATAATAATAATAAAGTCAGAACAATTCACTCAGAACTTTTGATGACTCAAGTCAAGCTAGCTAAAGCTTGTGTTATGGGTTTTAGCTAACTGATACAATAATACTTAGATAATAATAATACATAGATTTTTTTCGTAAATACATATATATTATACAAAGAAAATATTCAGAGCATTACAAATAATCATATTCATTAATACAAATCGTTTGTACTGAGCGAGGATTGAACTCACGACCACTGAAAGTGAGGCTATGTGCTAAACCACTAAATCACCGAGGCCGTCATTATATTATTCTCTTTCCCTTTCATGATGGAGTAAAATTACAATACATCCGCTCCTTTTTATCCTTAGGATATTGCAAAGCGACTAGGGGGAATTACATTGGTTCTCTAGGAAAACACGAAATATAAACAAAAACAAACAACTTCCACGTTAACTCTGGAGTAGAGTTCAGTCCAATACAGATTTGCATTGTCACTTTAATACGTAATCAACTCGACAGATAAAAATATCAGTTAGTTTTTTCTAGTTACCGTTTATCTAGTGATTTACTACTCGAATAAAATGGAAAGGGTTCGTGTTCGAATCTGACCGATAGAAAAATAAACTTTTTTCATATTTCCGACTGATACTCTGATGATGAAAACATCAATAACAAACTAAAATAATATAAGAGATCATACCAGAATACCACCCTGTTATGTTAGATGAAACCAGTTAAGTTTCTTGCCAGTTCTATCACCAGAGAACTATCTAAACCACCAGACCACCGAGGTCTATTATAGAAATAAATTATTTTGACTTTAAATTTGAATTATGAGCATATTAAGTGTTGAATACATCACGCGTTAATGACATGCGAAATTTAACAATGACTCTTATAGTGATAATAGTCATGAAGGTAGAATAATAAACAGATATTATACAAATAAAAAAAATATATCTAAGAGCAAAAAAGTATATCTATACATATAAATAAAATTGTTTGTAATTTTGATATAACCGATTTTCATTACATGCATATGAATATAAATACATACACCAAAATAACATTTTTTACAATTTTTATCTGTCTGTCTGTCGGTTTGTATGTTCCGACTAATCTCTGAAATGGCTGGACTGATTTTGACGGGTCTTTTATTAGCAGGTAGCAGATGTAATAAGGAGTAACTTAGACTACTTTTATTTAAGAAAAAATCTTTTTATTTTATTAAAATAAAGTAATGTTGCAAAATTTCACGCCGGCGAAGTCGCGAGTACAGGTAGTAAGTAATAAAATACGTAGGTACTTAGGTAGGTACGTAGGTACGTTATTATTGAAATAGTAGACTGAGAAAAATATATACATACATGTACCTATACTTCCATAATAATGAAGAATGTGAATACGATACGCAATTAAGATAGAAAGCGATAAGCCTTTATACCTATTTAAACTAACTAACACCTACATAACAATTAAATTAAACATTTTTTTAGTCATTTAGTTTGTCTATTTATTTATTTCAGGCTACTAATGGCCAATATTATAAATATTTTATAGTCTAACATACATATGTAACATACATATAATATTAATTCATATGTATCTTAGTGTATAAGGTATCTATAATATGGGCCTAGTAGCCTGAAGTAGATAAGTAATTATAATATAATTTGTATGATCACGGCACTGATGATGGCAATCTGTGGAAGCACCGATACACCCTTCGGACAGTAGTCCACTTTGATAAAGAAAGGCAGCATGTTGGTGGGACACGGGGACGACTTGAAACTCGCGTTGTCTTAATGTCAGGTTACTCCTGGACCGTATGTAGTCGACAATGTCCTGCTCCTTGGTGAAAAGTTTTTGTCCGTCATCGAGATACAATCTATCTTGACATAAAATTCGTGAAGGTTTTCATAGATACATGCTTTATTTGTGACGTACTGTAAAGAAAAGGCAAACCATATATAAGAATACGTATATTATTACAATAACGCGATGGATGAAGATAACACATAGACCCGACAAATGGATACACTTTCCCTGGCCAATTCAAATGAGGATCGAAATTACGTTGGTCTGAGCCGAAGTACGAATCCCTCGGTGCCCTCAGACTAAAGTCGTATTCGTCAGCCAGGAGTGCCCTCTGCAAGTGCCCCCTATCCTTCGAAGCTATCTATCGTTGAAGCTGTAAAGTCCAGCTGTGGCCAACAGCATTAGAATCATACGAAAAAAATGATAGATAGATATATAGATAAAACATTTATTATCAATATTAAACAAATTACAAATAATACACAAAATAAAATAAAACAAACAAAGTTGGCAATTGAGGCTGCCTCAGCTGTTGCTGATATAAGTACAACCTCAATGAGGTGCACCTATATAGCGCTGGTTTTCAGTCACCATTACTCAATAAAAAAATATTATTAACGTGCGGGTTTAGATTTAAATACACTTCAGCATTTATAGTATTAATATGTAATAATTTCGAATGTGTATTTCTCCGTGAGATGACGATGTATGAATGTAGATGTGTCACTGTGGTTTCTCGTAAAAGACCATAAACAAAACCGTCCACAATACCTGTGGGCAAACAGGAAAAAATCTTAATAATTTGGCGTATATATGATACATAGCATTTGGGACATAGAAGGAAATAGGTTAAGTACTTTTAATCCCGGTCAATGAAGGTTTTTATTTAATTAATCATAATAGAATGGTGCAAAGCCTGCGCTCACGGTTTTTTTATGGATGATAATGGGGTGCAGCCGCTAACACTTTACTCTGGCGGGGAACCAGTGGAGGATGATAAGATGAACATGAGGTCAGGCCAGTTAGCCCATCTTGGCAAATAGCAATTTACCACAGTGATTTCCAGAGGGAACCACGTGAAGGTCAACCTGACATGGTACATTGCTAGCAAGGGGGTACGCCCACATTAATAACAATCCTCATTCCCCCTGCGCTCTCGATTTACGCTGGCTGGATACCAATGTAGGATGAAAATTCCTAAAAATTTTACTTATATACGTATTTGGGAAGTAAGTAAATAAGCTAGGTACACTTTATCCCCGCCAATATATATTTTTAATGGATGATAATGGAATGGTGCACCTATCTACTCTTGAATATAGCTGTGATAATTGACCTAACTTCATGATTATCCCATCATCTCCCTGTGATTCACCGCCAGCACAAACCGTCAGCGCAGGCAAGTGCATTCCATTATCACCCAGAAAAAGTCTGATATTACTGTTACCAAAACACCGATAAAAAACTAAATTAACAGGTAAAATATGACCAAATTATGTACTTGAATTTCGTCATTCTTAAACATGATAACCGTTGTCTATTACTCGATGATGTTGATGAGCAGGCGTTTCATTATCATCTTACCAGTTATCATCCGCTTCATTCGCGTAGGTATCACATTAACTGTTTATTATTTTATTATTATTGACCAAATTGGATAAAAAGTGGCCTATGTTCTTCATGGCAAAGGTCATATGCGTGCCGATTTTCATGACAATTGGCCGAGTTGTTGAACCGTGAAGAGGTAATAATGATTAGCTACTCGCGAGATATCTTCCAGGGTAGGTAGAAAGGTCAGAGAAGATACATTGTCACACTGTCAAATATCTGCCGGTCATCTTATACACTGTCAAAGAAAGGCGTGACGATTAAAGGAGCTAACTGTCGTGACAATACAACAAAAACAATACCTCAAATATCGCAGAATACAAGTTACTTTCCTTCGAGTCTCTCATTAGTGAGAGCTGAATTGTCCCAAAAAATATACTTGAATAGAACCTTGAGAGGAGTACCAAGTATTGCATGGGCAATGAAATTACGATGACGGTATTATTCAGTATTCTTTCTATATCTATTTAGAGACCTTGCGTCTCTCCTCATCCAGGCGCGACAGCAATACTTTCAAACGAAATATTGCCGTGAATATTTGCGTTCCCTTCTACTTGACTTAGTCTAATATAAACTTTCTTTCCGTTATTCTGAAAAACCATGCTAATTCCAATCTAAGGCACATCTTTTTTATTTTTATATCGTCTTCGATTGTTCATATGTATGTGCTAAATATATGTCAGGTCATTTGTTTAGTAAAGATCATATTTTCCATTTACGTAGTATTTTTATTTTTGAGGATGATAATGGAATGGTGTACTCGCCTGCGCTAACGGTTTACGCTGGCGGGGCACCAGTGGAGGATGATAAGATGAACATGAAGTCCGATCAGATAGCCCATCGTGACAAATTCACCGGAAATTTATAACGATGGTTTCAAAGGGGAACCGCGTGGAGGTCGACCTGACATGGTACATTGCTAGCAATGGGGTCATTAGTCTACATTACTAACAATCCGCTCCCCCCCTCTACGTAGTATTAAACGAATGAATCCAAATTCGAGTAGTATGAAATATTGATAATAGAACAAATTTTCACCTTTTTTCGTCAAATAGTTATAGATTAGGTAGATTTTCATATGGAAACGTTTTGTATGGAAAGGGGTTCGGGACAGCCCAAAAACTTATAGTCTTATTGAAATTTGAAAACTCAGATTTCAAACTCGTGTAACAATTATAAATTCACCATCACCCGGCTCTCCATGATAGGTTAGCATGACTAATTAAAAAAAAACATTTTACAGTAAAAGAATATGGCGGCCGACCAAGTTTTCCACTCAAGGTCTGAAGGTATCCCTTCTGAGGGTGTAAAGGATCAGTATGCTGATGGTAAAGCAGCGAGAGCGTGGAACAAGTTCATAGGCGACAGCCACCAGCGCACACAGAACTATAAAGACTTTCTGATTGGACGATTGCGGAGACATGGCTGCAATAAAGTGCTGGACACCGCCTGTGGAACAGGGTAAGCTACGAATAATATGACTGATAAAAATAATCATATCTCAGGATATCCTCTAATATCCAATGATCCATCGTCCGGTAAAGCTGTAAAGTCCAAAAAAAACCAATCCACACTTCGCCATTTGTTACCAAGATAAGTAGGTCGTGTGCTATGGTTACTAAATAACATGTTATTATTGAAAAATATGTTTATCTTATTAATATTATAAACGAGAAAGTTTGTGAGTATGGATGGATGTTTGTTACTCTTTCACGCAAAAACTACTGAACGGATTTTGATGAAACTTTACAGTAATATAAGCTATACTGTAAAGATCAGAATAGTATATAACTATAAAATTTACGCGAGTGAAACCGCGGGCACAGCTAGTACTCAATAGTTTTCTATGTATAAAAAATATCTATGTATTTATATCAATTGTCTAGTACTGTCCAGGGTTGTTACCCTAACAGGAGGATCAGCCAAAACTGGTGACATGTGATTATAAAGGTGGCACTCATATTTTTTTTATCTCGGAGTTAATGAGGTCAGACTGTCGTGACTCTTGTACACTCTTATTTTACATAAAGATACGCTTTGTTCTAAATTAAATAGAGTGCAATACGTCATTATAAAGGCGATAGAGATTGGCAAGTAGCAGTTAAGAGATAGTAGTCTCGTCACAAGAAGAATGAACAACTGTGAATACAAGCTGGTAGTTTAGCACTACTTTATTGGGGTCAAAATATTAATTACACAATAAGATTAAATCAGTCAATGCCAGCGAATGTTGGCATTATTTCCCTCTTCCCTCCCCTATTAAGTATCTATAGCATGAGAATTATCTGTAGATAATGTCATATAGTCAGTAGTGTCATATTTATTTGCAGAATTGATTCTATGATGCTAGTAGAGGAGGGGTTCAAAATGGTGTCAACTGACGCTTCCGATAAGATGTTGAAACATGCCCTCAAAGCTCGTTGGGAGAAGAGGAAAGACCACAAATATGATGATTGGGGTAAGTAACAATAATACCTTTAGCCTTTATACAAAATCTTTCGTACGCGATTCAGCGCGGAATTGCCAGCGCGCGCAATCGTGATTTTATTTATTTACAATGTTTATTGCACTAGATACAGAACAATTAAAATGTTTAGTTTAAATTCAAATTCAAAAATCATTTATTCATGTAGGACATTTTAACCGCTTATGAACGTCAAATTTTTTACTTCTATTTTTTTGCCTACCTTCCACTTCAGTAGATATGACCATATGTTATCTGTGATATGAGTATCCAGAACCAATTTGAGAAGAACTGGCAAGAAATTCAATTGAATTACTTTTTTTTAAAGACAGTTAATATTTTTATAGGAGTTTATGTCTAACATTAAGTGATATTACTAATTTTAACTAAATATTAATTGATTTTTATATTACCGTTTTTAGTAATTGAAGAAGCAAACTGGGAGACGTTACCTCGAGACATACAGTCGTTTCTGCCAGGCACGCAGTTTGACGCTGTGATCTGCTTAGGGAACTCATTTGCTCATCTTCTGGATGAATATGGCGACCAGCGGATGCAGAAGATGTGCCTGAGGAACTTCGCTAAATGCTTAAAACCCGGCGGTCTCCTGTTTATCGATCATAGGAATTATGACGCGATGATAGACAGCGGAGCAACGCCTGGACACTCCATTTATTATAATGTGAGTAAATAATATCTCAGAACAATTCACATGGCGCCATCTAGTGCCACGCTAAGCAAAACTCCTGTTACGGGTACTGGACAACTGATAGAAATACATAGATACATTTTTGTTATAAATATATACATCGAAAACACCCAGACCGATCATACTCATAAATATAAATGTGTGTCCGAGGAATCGAATCCGCGACCATCGGAAGGAAGGTGGTGTGCTAAACAACTAGACCCAGAATCTGCAGATTTTACTAAGCTGAAGAGGAAACGCCACTACACATCCTATGTGGTTGTAGCCCACACATGCGTAAACGAAATATCTCCTTTGGAAAGTACACACTCTATCATATAAGAGATATAAACCATCGCTCCTAAGAATATCCATAAATTCTGGTCTAGGTACTAAACTCTGAAAGAGCGAGCACAATAGATATGTGTAGGGGGAAGGTAGAAGGTAACCCCCATTGCTAGCAATGTATGGTACATTGTTAGGCCGACTTTCATGCGGAAGAAGAATTTATCACGATGGGCCAACTGACCTGACCTCATGCTCATCCTATCATCCTCCACTGGTGCCCCGCCAGCGTAAACCGTTAGCGCAGGCACCATTTCATTATCATCCCCCTTCTTCTTCTTTCGTTTCAGTGGCAACTAAATGTATTTTCAGATGTTGCGACGACTCTTACGCATTTTTTAAATATTCCATTGTGCAGGATGTTGGGCACAAAGAATAATTATGATCCTCCAAAAAAAAGTGTTTTTTTTTGTAAATACGTAAGTGATATACCTTTAGACAAATCATTGTTATTGTTACTATGCAATAACATATTATATCTCGTTACACGGTCATGTTTACATCAATATCCATATTATCACTCTAAATTAAGTCAGTTATTACTTGTTTTATAACATCTTATCTTAAAGCTAGGTATAGTTATCTTAAATAACATATTATTGTCAAAACTATCATTATAGTTTTATGCAAACTGAGTAACAGAAAGGTTAAGAAATATGTTAAAATTTTTTTTACAGTAGGCAGGTAATCTACCTAATTAGTATCACAGATAACATCATCTGCTTCTTCCGTATCCCATTTATTTGGGGTCGGCGTAATATGTTTTTCTCTTCCATTCATACCTGTTCGCAGTCATCTCGTTATTTACCTTTCTTACCATATCATCTTTCACACAGTACATCCATCTCTTTTTCGGCCTTCCTCTGCCCTTATAACCATCCACATTCATATGTAACGACTGATAACATAATATTACATAATAGTACTGACCAAAATTCACACTAATTTTATAAACTAGGACCGCTAGTTGCTAATGAATAGAAATTTCAAATTAAAAAGAATAAAAAAGCCCTTGGTAATGAATAAAAATTTCAAATACCTACAATACATTTTGACGACATCGGTGATCTAGCGGTTTAGCACACCGATTTACTTGCGATGGTCACTGGTTCTTTTCATCGCACGGTGGAAACATTTGTATTAAAAAGTTTATTGTTTGTATCGGTCTGGGTGTTTTCTATGTATAATATGTATGTATTTAAAAAATCTAAGTATTTATATCAGTTATCTAGTACCCATAACAGAAGCTGTAGCTAGCTTTATTTGGGTCTAGATGGCGTTGTGTGAATTGTCTTGAGTATACATTTTTTTTATGATGATATTTGCACTGCCAACAATTATTCTCTGCACCACTTATGGTAGAAATATTTAAAAAAAATATTGGTAGAAAATACCGCATGGTGTTAAGTCAGCCAAATGTATTGTTATTTTTTGTAGTGTATGCATTAAAATTATATAAATAAATTATTAACCGGGTCTTAACACGAATAATTTTATGGCAAATAAATACCTTTATTAGCCAAGCCATTAGTAAGTACCTTTATTTGCCATAAAATTATTCGTATTAAGACCCGGTTAATAATTTAAATAATGTATATTGAACACGAAAGTTTAAAAATAACTAAAAATGAATTAATAATTATTGAAATGCATTTTGTTCTAGTGCAAATATCCGGTGGACATCAAAACATCAGTACTGGTGGTGCGTGGGAAACCGCAGCTGATTGCACTCGACTACTGCATAGATGGCGCCAATGATGACGACAATGAGAGGAGGTAGGATACATTTTAATGTATACTGTCTGTTACCCGCCACTTCGTATGGGTATTAAATTTATTTTTTTATTAAATGAATTAAATGTAGCGTAAGTTACTCCTTATAACCGGGGGAAAGGGGATTGTTAGTAATGTGGACTGATGTTCTTATTGCTAGCAATGTACCATGTCAGGTTGAATTCCACGCGGTTCCCCATGGAAACCATCGTGATAAATTCTTGGTGAATTTGTCTTGATGGGCTAACAGACCTGACCTCATGCTTATCTTATCATCCTCGACTGGTGCGCAGCTAGCATAAACCGCAGCAATTAGCGCAGGCAGGTGTACCATTCCATTATTATCCATGACGGTCTCGGTGGTCTAGTGGTTTAGCACACCGTCTTACTTCCGATAGTCGCGGGTACGATTCCTCGCACAGTACAAACATTTGTATTCATGACGTTGGGATTGGTCTGGTTGTTTTCTATGTATAATATGTATGTACATGTATATTTTTTTCGTATTTTTATCAGTATTTATTACCCATAACACAAGCTTTAGCGAACTTCATTTAGGTCTAGATGGAGCTGTGTATTGTTCTGTGACTATTATTATTAATCATTAAAAAAACATAGTGACGAATACAAATGTTTGACCATTAAACGTTTATTTTTTTTTCTAGTGACTTCCGTCTTTGCTACTACCCTCACAAATTGGACACATTCACCAGAATGTTGGACGAAGCATTCGACTACAACGCCAAGCACCAAATATTTGCAGACTTCAAACCAATAAACGAGGTTCCCGTACCAGGCTTCTATATACATGTGATGGAGAAATTTAGTGATTAATTATAGTTTAATTATATTATTATTTATGATACTCAGATAATAAACATCACAAATAAATATTATTTTAGTTCTATAGAAATTTTATTTTATTGCCTATTAAACATAATAATAAAAAATATATATATATAAATTAAACTTTTAAAAGAATAAAGAGAAAACGAAGGGTATTTTTCATATATAAATAAATTTGTCGCGTAAAACGAAGAGATTCACAAGTACCTGAATGTGCCAACAATTCATGACGAGATAAAGCAGTACAACAAGAGGTATACAGACCGATTATCTAGCCATCCTAATCCACTGGCAACACAGCTCTTGGAGCCTTTTCACACAGTCAAGAGACTGAAGAGTAGGAATATACTGTAGAAAGGCAGAAGTGGTGCTGACTTCTTCGCTTACAAATCAAGCAGCACTCAACACATTTGCTTATAGTCTTGCGACTGATCGCCGATTAAAATAGAATATATATATATATATGTATACATAAATTGAGCAATTATGGGTTAGTAGTGTTTTTTTGTAATTGGAACAGCAGAGTTTGTTTTTGTTCGTTTGTTTGTAACACTTTATTGTACAGTAAAAACATATATATATTTACTGTAATAATAAGTTAAGTTATAAAAATAAGTCTAGTAGTATTTAGTTTTTGCCTAAAAGAGTGCATATTTTAACAAAAAAGTTAGAGAAGATTCTAAATTAAAAGTATCCTAAGTTACTCCTTATTATATCAGCTACCTCCAATAAAGGTCCCATCAAAATCGGTCAAATGTTATTTTGGTGTATGTACGGTACATTATATTCATATGTAAGTAGTAAAAACCTGTTATTTCAATATTACAAACATACACTCCAATTTTATTTATATGTATAAATAGTATATATTGGTATGCATGTAAACAAATTGAAATAAAGTGTAGAGTCTGAGTCTTGCTGCATACCTCTTAGACATTGTCATACCTGAGGAGTATGTCACAACTTCTCCATACTCTGTAACATCACTGCCATTTGTTACCACCCAAGCAATGGCAATGGCAATCTATGGCAGTATAGTTTCAGGGAAGGCATAATCAAGTAAAGGCTTGAGTAATGCGGCTCTGTTCCTGAGCTCATTAGCTGGTGTTAGCAGAAATAACTGCGAATTATCTACACAGATATCTTTGTACATAGTTAACCTCTGGTAAGCAGAGATTAAAGAAAAAGTGATAAAATAAAAATAGCAAATACTTCTGAAATGAAAAATAATTTATTTTATTAGAGAAGTAACAATGTGTATGAGAATATTTAACTTAGAGTGTGGGCCTTATATTAACTATTATTGCTAAACTACAATTACATCTATGATCCAACAATGATGTTGTTGATCGGAATATGTATCAGTTTTACGAAGAAGCCAATGAATCCCATGATGCAGAAACCGATAGCTGTTGCGATGGCGATCTTCTGGAATTCTGTAATTAAATATTTTTTATGATTAGTATAGTCATAATAACAGAAAATGGGTCCATTTAAAGGATGGGTTAATGAGATAAAAGTATTAGAGGCTGGCACATGGACAAGGGTAGCCAGGGATAGACAGAGATGGAAAATGTGGGAGGCCTTTACCAATTAGTGGCATGCAGCAGGTTGTTGATGCAATACAATTATTTTAAACAATTTTTAATCTATCACTTATTCCGAAAGTCTCATCTCTCTCATCATAAGAATGAGCAAGAAACTTCCTTGTTACAAGTTTTTTGCTTATTCTTCTTATGATGAGCAGACAGCTTTCTGAATGAGGTAGATTAAAAAAAACTATGACTATTCAATGCTTAAATTAAGCTTATTTGAATAAAGGATTCTCTATTCAATTCTAACTAGTTTAAATGCATATATCTGTACATAATTATATAATAATGTAACATAACTGTACTTTTTCAATAAAGACATATTAATAGAAGTCGATAACAACACATTAGGAGTAACAGTGTATTTTATGGTATGCATAATACATAATGGTAGTTTTTTTTTTATATAGATTATTCACAAAATAATGATTAAGTGGTTCATCACTTCAGTTACTTAAACAAATTGAAATATAGATAATTTAAATATGATGCAATTCACAATAAACCTTTCACTGCAGCATAGCACATTCATATTTCAAATGAAATTTCAATATATTTGACTGTAAAAGGTTTTTGGAATACATACATTTGATAAGCTTTCTCAATTACATCAAGCATATTAAAGACAAAATGGGAGTTGTGATGTATCAACATCTAAAGAGCCTAATGGAAGATTGTATAAAGTGACAAGAGCTCCACAAACAATAGTGTAGCTTTTAAATTATGAATAAATGAATGAATGATAAGGTTTTTATGAAGTACTACATACATATATAACATGAAAAGGATTACTATATCCCATATACAGTAATCCTTCTTATGTAGTATATATAGTTGCAGATTTGTATCCCTTTTACCAACATATTGTTATACATAGGATACAATATTGGGTACTTAAAAAGCACTGATACTGCATACCATTTAAAAAAAATATGTTCAATAATAACCACTACTTTCTCTCTAATTCCTAAACTCTTATACACTATCTGTAGTTTGGCATAAATATTATTTACCTATACAGAAAATATCCTTATGTTTATCCTATTAAAGTAAATATGTAAAATTAAATAAATAGTCCTAGAACCACCACATAACACTACCTCTTTCCAAACTAAACTGATACAATATATTAAATTATATAAAAACAACACTAGTTTATACTAAGGCATTGAAGCCCTAAAGGTAATCCTTTTAAAAAATGAAAATAAACTGCAAATAATTCAAAATTTCTAAACTGTAGCGACCTCAATATGTTTCATGTAATAAGAATTATTTTGCAAAGGATACCTATGAGTATCTACAAAATAATAAAAGGTACCTTTTCTGTCTGGCTTAGTGCATCTCCTGACTAATCTTATGGAATCCTTGGCGAACTGCTTGCCTGGCTCGACAAACTTAGCAATTTGATCCATTTTCTGAAATGACAATGTTTTTTTAGTTAAATTATCCAATAGTTATTTACATTTGTTACAATAATAAAGTAGTTAACTTACGTGTTAATTTATTATTACAAAAATGAAAGAAATTATTGGAAAAGAACAGTAAAAATTACAGTAAGCAAATCGAAATGCAGTTGTGGAACAAAATCGTATTGCATTGACAAATGACAAAACACGAAACGTCAGCCACGTTTCGAAAGTTTGCCGCACGTCAGCACACTCAAATATTTTTGCGTTCGGATACACAAGCATTGACTTCAAAGTATAAAACGAATGTTATGAGTTTTTTTAATAGGTGTAATTAAATTTATAAATAAAATTTAATATTAAATTTCAGATGACTTCAATGGAATTGTTGAAAGAATTGAATCGTCTGCATATTTATACAATACTATGTGCAGCAAGAACATTATGCAAAATTATCCACGAAAAGGAGTAATAGCCTCCAATCCAATCCAATCCGTCTAAATCGTGTTAACGTCAACTATATGTCACTGTCAGTGCAGCAAGTGGTAAACATTTCAGAAAACTTGAAAATAACAAAAATTAAAAATAATCATACGAATTAGAGAAAATTACCTCCTTATTCCAAATAATTAGACATTTGTTCTAATAACTCATTTAAATTAATATTTCGTTGTATTGATGATATTGTTCTAAACTACAATCATGCTTGCTATTGAAAAGAAATATGAAATAGAAATGAAATTAAAAAAGGTAAAATTGTATATATGTATGAATAGTACGCCCCTAGAGATTAATATGTTAAATTTATTATTAGTTAATGTTTATAACAGCGCCACTATAGTAATAGTTGGAAACATTTTTTTGAAAAATCTGGGCTTGAATCATAGTTTAAATTGGACATAAGGTGAAATCACTTGTGCTCATGATAAATATGTTAATGAAAAATCAAGATGATAGACTCAAATGGGCATTCGGGCAGTAGCTCTGACATATGCAAGATCTTTATGTTTTGCAACAAATTATTAATAAAGATGTTGAGTCAAGAGTCAGGATTTAAAAACGGAACTAAAATTTACATAAGTAAATTTTAAGTCTTTAGGGCTATCAAAAATTTAATTTTTGTATCCAGCCAATCTGGATGGTAGACAGTGGTTCTACCATCCAGATTTGCTAGCTACTTCTATTCTGTATTAATACTGTTAGAAACTTATCTGGTGAAGTCTTTTTGTACATAACTTGCAATTATTTTCAAATTACAAAATTATTCTTATTTAACCACTTATTCTTAGTGTATATTTATTGTATGCTCATTCGATTTTAGTGTGAGCCTGCATCCACATCCACATAATTAAACAAACACTTGTTTTAAGATTTATCACACAAAGTTGAATTATTTATGTTTTTTTAAGTTTATTTTAGTATCATATTATAAACTTAAAAAAATCATATTATGATATCAATATTATAAATAAAAACAAAATAATTCTTTTTTGACCTCATTTAACAGAAAAACCATTGCATTAAGTGGTTAATAGTTAAATTATTGCTTACAGATGACTCATACTTACTTATTCCTTTTATATTCACATTTGCCATTCATTGATTGATTTTCATCACCACACTTGTTACAGGAGATGGGTAACATCTTGGAGTTGAAGGCAGCTGCGAAGCGCAGTTCTTCACTAGCCAATGATGTGTGTAATGTGTTGGGTGCTTGTGAACAAAGGCTGCAGCAGCTGGAGACTGCTGTACTGCCTTTGTATGGAGACACAGCGAGGCTGCAGTATATACATGAGAGTATGTTATTATTTTAAATATATGGGTTGTAACTTAATCAAATATTTTACTAATATTATAAATGCAAAAGTCTGTCATTATAGATGGATGTTTGTTACTCTTTTATGCAAAAATTACTGACTGGATATTGTTGAAACTTTGCTGTATAGCTTATACATCAGAATAACACAGGCTACAGATATCATGCGGGTGAAACCGTATGCAGCAGCTTGTATAAAATATATCATGAAACTTTAATAGTTGCTACAATTGGACTTCTAGTCCAATAAATTGCCTATCCATAAATTATGTTAATTTTTTGGACCATTTTTTTTCTGTTTGTATCTGTCATCAGCATTTTGGTTATAATCAGATTTGTTATTATTTATTAAATTATTATTATTATTCTGGATTCTGCTTGTCAAATATCGAAGATCAGAGAGAAGGCAGAGACCTATGGGATTTTGAAGTTTGATTGGGAAGCTGAACCCCATAGGTCAACTGCATAAGTCTATACTGGTTTAAATATACATTGTATATTCCTGAAATATATAAAAAGATATGAAAATTGTGCACAGACCTACAGGATTTCAAAGTTCGATTGAGAAGCTGAGCTGCATAGTTCCGTTCCATAAGTCGATATTGTACATTTTAAATATACATTGTATATTCCTGAAACATGTAAAAAAAAATATATTATAATAATTAATAGTTTATTTGGGAACATGGTGGTGAAGAAACTTACTTAAAATATTCCTCTTTTACACTACTAGATATGGAGCAAACAGCGAAGGCCTTGGATCACGTTATCAACTACTACATGGTGTCAAGGGAGCTGGCTGACCTCATACAAGCTGGACCTCACACAACCACTACTGAGGCACTGAACATATATTTGGAAGTATGTACTATGTATTTGCATTTCCAAATCTTATCATTACATAGTATAAAACTAAGTCACTGTCGCTGTCTGTCCGTTCCTATGCTTAAATCTTTAAAACTATGGAACAGCTTTTGAAGCGGTTTTTTAATAGATAGAGTGATTCAAGAGGTAGGTTTATATATATATATATATATATATATATAATACATGTACACACATGCGCAGCCGGGGCGAGTAGCTAGTTAATATTATAAATGTAAAAGTTAGTGAGTATGGATGGATTTTTATTACATTTTGAAGCAAATACTACTACACGGATTTTGATTAAATTTATACATTTCATGCGGCTGAAACCGCGGGCACAGCTAGTGCATAAGTAAAGTCTATTTTAAATGAAATTAAAATAATTTATTTTTTTGTGATATTTGTGGTACTTACCACATTTTATTTATTTTTATTGTGTTCCCGATATTTCGGCAGTGTTTCAACTTACTATATCACACCGCCATGATCACGGGTAAACAAAAAAAAATTTATTCATGTAGGACATTTTAGCCGAATGTCAATTTTTAATATTATAATTTTTCCCTACGCCCTACGCCCAATTCAGTATACCTACAGATTCAATAACTGTCAAGAAACTCAATTAAATTTCTTTTTTTTACAAGTCTGTTTATTTACTATGTTCACATATATAGGTGTCTATGTCTAATATTAAATGAAAATCCCGTGCATGAACAACTATTGCCATGAACACTCATCATTCATGTAATCGTTTAGTGAGTAATAGGCTATAAATAGTGCCTAAAATTTAAAGCAGTATATAATAATAATAATCTTAGGAGAATTCACACAGCGCCATCTAGACCCAAGTTAAGCTAGCTAAAGCTTGTGTTATTGGTACTAGATAACTGATACATATAAGTACATAGATATTATTTTTTTTGTACATATGTACATACATATTATACATAGAAAACACCCAGACCTAAATAATCATACTCACTATGTTATATAGAATAGAATACAAATGTTTGTGTTGTACGAGGAATCGAACCCGCGACCATCGATCGTAAAGCGGTGTGCTAAACCGCTAGACTACCGAGGTCGTCAAATATATATAAATTGTTTATGTTACAGGCTTTGGACAAATTGTCAGAAGCACAAGCCTACTTCAACAAAAATAACCCGCAGAGTGTGGAACTTGAAAATATTGTAAGTCTACCCAACATAATAATAACCCACACACACATAATTTCATTTAGGACTAAAGTAATCTAGGACAGTGATTCTCAAAGTGGTCTATATCGACCTCCAGGGATCTACGACAATCTGGAAGGGATCTACGATAGTGGTCGTCTTGTTGTTTTAATTTTATGTTTTAACACTAAACTTTACTAAAGTTAGAAATATAAAAAAAAAACCATACCAGGTAAGAATGGGGGTCTACCCAAAACAGAAAGATATGGCAAGGGGTCTACGACACAAAAAAGTTTGGAAACCTCTGATCTAGGACATCTAATCCCAAGCTAAGCAGAGCATGTATTATGGGTACTAGACTACTGATAGGATAGAATAAATTAAAGTTTCATATGATAGATATACCTACATACATTTGTTTTATAAATGCATATACATATACTTAGAAAGTTACAATAAACCAGTACAAACAATAATACTCATGAATACCAATGTTTGTACCCTGCAAAGAATCAAACTCGAGACCATCAGAGGTAAGGCAGTGTCCTAAATACTTTAACCAGCGGGGCTAACTATAAACATTTTGAAATAATTTTAGTAAAATATTAAGTATTGTATCTATACCACAGAAAGAGTGAGAGTACTAAAATAGTGAAAAAATTGTATTGAAAACAGCGTAGTTTTTAAGTTACATCTAAATGTAGATACTATTAAATAACTATTATCTCTAAATATATATAACTCAAAGGTGACTGCTGTAGTGATCTATCAACACACAGCCCAAACCACTGGACGGATCGGGCTGAATTTTGGCATGCAGGTAGATGTTATGACGTAGGCATCCCCTAAGAAGGGATTTTGATTAATTTTACTCCCGAAGGGATAAACTAGAGGATGAAAGTTTGTATGAAACTTTGTCAATTTTAAACTGATCGGGCTGAGACTTTGCATGCATAAATCTACTATGACATAGGCATCCCCTAAGAAAGGATTTTGATAAATTCCACCACTTAAGGGGATAAATTAACGCGAGCGAAGCCGCGGGCAATAGCTAGTATATTTCCCTTTTTTTTCTGTTCCTTGTATATCCGCAATCAGTAAGTGTACTATAATCGGATTGGTTGGTAAATGACTATGCGAGTCCAGTGAGTGCAAGACTTTTTGACGCTTTGTTTGGATTTCAAGACCCGGAGTACACTTTGTCCAACTCCAGTATTTGCGTGCTTTTCAGGCGTTTTGGGGGTTGTTAATGAGTACCTGGTCTAGCTGGCTATATTTCCCTTCAGTTTATAAGCATTGGAACTAATAAACAGTTATATTTTTAGAACCAGTTGTATAACATTGGAGTGACCAAGCTAGAGAATGCGTTTGAGGAGCTTCTCAGTCGCCACACCAGGCCACTGACGGCGACCACGTTAATGGAAATGATAGCTCTAGACGAGGGTAAGTGTTTCTTGAGCATTATACATATCTATTGATTAGTTTATAATTTTGTTTTAATAATAAGTTTATTGTATCTTTTATTTTTATAAATTTTTTTATATATTTATTTATTTAGTTCAGGCTACATGGCCCATATTATAAATACCTTATAGACTAACATACATAAGAAATAATAATAAAATATGTACATAAAATTGTCTCTATGGTCACGGCACTGACGACGGCAATCTGCCACGATAGCGCCGATAGACCACCCCCTTCGGCCAGTAGTCCTCCTTCATGAAGGTGGGCAGCATGTTGGTGGGGACCCGGGCCACGAACGCTTTGAAGCTCGCGTTGTGGCTCGATTCCAACTGTGTCACCCTCAATGTCAGGTTGCTTTCAGTCCGGATGTAGTCAACAATGTCCTGTTCCTTGGTAGCGTAGTGTAGGCGGGATAGGTACATTGCCGTGGTCGGTGTTGCGGCACGTAACAAGAAGTTGGGCCCTGTCAGTGCTGTGCCACAATGGTTTCGATTGACCCTCTTTGTGCGCCTTTTCTTTTGTACCGTGACAAAACCATCATCGTCACGGTCAGCAGACTTTGTACACATAGGGGTAATTTTCAGAGTCACTTTAGGCTCATTCCATTTATGGATTATGCTAATGGAATGGTGCGCCTGCCTACGGATGCCAGTGGATGATAACAAGAGCATGAGGTTAGAACAATTAGCCCATCATGGCAAATTAACCACGAATTTATCATAATGATTGTGGGAACTGGGTGCAGGTCAACCGGACATGGTCTATTGCTAGAAATGGGATCCATCTCTTTTTTCATAGCGTTACTATATTTTTATTTGTAATGTTGTATTAAATAAATAAATGTCTAAGAGCGGGTAAGACTGTTTTTTATCATGTAAGATTGAAATTTGTTTGTTGCAATATAGTGCCATTTTATAATGTTTTTATATTATGTGGAAAAGTTACCACGCTGAGTGCGTATTTCTTTAGGATTCTACCGAGGGCGTGTGGACTGTTAGTGTGTTTGGGGCTGTTCATTAGTCACGTGATGTTTTTTTCAGCATTTTACGCCGAGTTTAGGTATAGAAACCGCTCGTTGAACGGAAAAATAATCACGGGATATGTTACTACACTCCTTTGTGTGTGATATTTCCCCCTCCCTCCTTTCGGAGCCTCAGGTGATTAACGGGCAGTCGGTTGCGTGCACAGACTCGAGCGCGGAGAGCGTGAGCGTGGGCGCGAGCGGGAGCGGCGCGGGCGCGGAGGCGGCGCGCGAGGCGCTGGTGGCGGCCGCGGGGTGGCTGAGTGCGGCGGGCCGACCCCCCGCGGCGCCGCTGCTGCGGCTGCGGGCGCCCGCCGCGCGCGCCTCGCTGCGAGCCTTCCGCGACGCACTGCGCTCGCGCTCCATGGCCGCCTCGCCGCTCATGGTGACTCTTTCTAGATTTCCTTGTGTTACGACACAATGTTTGTTAGCCTTTCTAATATTTTGAGCGTGGATGAATGAATGGATTTAACTAAACTTTACTATAATGTAACTTATAAATCAGAATAATGAATCGGCTGTAAGGCGGGCGTAACCGCGGGCGCAGCTAGTAATACAGTCTTTATATATAAAAATTACGTGTCATGTTGTTTATCCGCGATGGACTCCTAAACTACTGAACCGATTGCAAATTTGACTTGCACATTGTGTACAATTTGATCCAACTTGAAAGATAGGATAGCTTACATCTCAATTTATAGTCGCAATATTATTTTATTCAAGATCCTTAGCCACAAGAATGCGTGGCCGGGTCTACTAATATAGTATCATTATTAAGAATGGCATATCATCCTAATTGCTACAAAAATGGTGTTGTAATGACAACATTTTGTGTCCACAAGGAGGTTTTTTTACATGATAATTGGAATAGTTCAAACATCTGCGCTAACGGTCTACGCTGGCGGGACACCAGTGCAACATAAGATGAACATGAGGTCAGGTCAGTTAGTCCATCGTGGCAAACAAACCAGGAGATTTTCACGATGGTTTCCAGGGGCAACCGCGTGAAAGTCATTGCTCAAATTCCTTTCTCCCCTAACGTAGAAGTTGCCCTATATGCATTGTTGCCTATTAGAGCAATTGACTTCTTCTGGCTTGCTTAATTGGGTCATCATAGGTATATTTAGATGTATTATTTATAACATGTGTATTATTATTGACAGAGATCTAAGAACATACTTCATCGATCTGACAGTGCCACGAAGAAAACGAGCAAAATTCAGAAAGTGTAAGTAGATTATAACCTTTTAATATGACCACAAACAATATATATCTAGTTGTAATTGTTGAATTTTATACTATTGGTACCCGTAGAACTGATTCAAAAAAGTGTTCTGGTTTATTAGTATCATTAGGACCTCAAGGTTTTTCAACTAGTAATGTTTTTTTATTTTGATTGCGTACATCTACTTCATGTAACATATGTGCCCTGTTTACTATCTTTAGCTAAAGTCATAGGGTATAGTTAAAATTATAGATTGTTTCGTTCAGACTGGAGAAGCGCGCCAACAAGATAATGATGAAGGCGTCTCAGACGCTGGAGCAGTCTACCGGGCTGGCGATTGGTCCCAGGCGGTCCATGAACGATTCTTGTAAGTATTTTCAGTCCACTTGAGTGATGTACTCAATGAGTACATCAAAACCTTCGTTTGATGTGTGGTAGTCATCAAATGAATGGGTCAATTTGACCGTAGTAGCATTTTTGTTACGAATAAAGCAGTATTGTCAAGGGGGATGGCGTGGAGATGTGGATGAGTGGCTTGGTACATTGTCAGTAGTGATAAAGGAAATATTCTCGTTTTACCCTATTTTTCTTATGAATGTGTTTATAAAAATCAATATTACCTGGAAATTTAAAAAATATGACGCGGACACTATCTGTAAAGCTTTAAAATTAATATTCTAAAATAGAAACTTACGATTAAATGAATCCATATCGTATGTACACTACCCCGCTACAGCTGGTTTTTACAACAAATTTGTATTTACTTCGAGATTAAAAAGCAGATTATAGACGACATGTATTAAATATCTCCATATTAATAAATTAATATTATCATAATTTGTAAGAATCCGTTAATTTTAGTACTGTCAATATAACTCTTTAATATCGTTCCGTTGCCTATAAAGTTCCTATTGAAAAAGTAAAACAGCTCGCGTACGGATAGTATAAGGCGCGGCTCGCGTGGCAGTAGTGGGTAGACTGTAGAGGTGCGGACATGTCCGCAGACACGGAGGAGAGCAGCGAGGCGCTGGACGAGGCGGAGGCGGAGGCGGCGGGCGCGGTGGCGGCGGCGCTGGCGCAGCTCGCGCGGCACGAGCAGCGCCAGCTGCTGGGGCTGGTGCCGCTGCCGCGCCTGCCCGCGCTGCTCGCGCAGGTGCTCAAGGACTGCTTCCAGATCCTCGCCGCCGACGTCGACGTAAGTGTTCACGCTCGTTCCGACGGCTCGCTATTGGTTCATCATTCAAACGGAGGTTAGATTAATCTGTATCTGTAAGCTTAGTAACATCATATCAAGATTTTTTCGGATATATACTACGGATATTAAGTTAATGTCTTAAGTGTTGTTCTTTTGGTAGACTAATATGTCATATTTTTTATTCTGTAATTTCATTATCTTCTCTCACATTTCCACCGGGACACATCTAACGAAGCGAGTTGCTTTGTGACCGAAACAGCCGAGACTGAGGTATTAATGCGATTTTATTATACATAATTTTCTATGTTAAAAATGTCAGATATATGTCATAGATAAAAGTTGAATATGTATTTACTACACGATCATGACTTGGGTTAGATTTAAAATCTCATCTGATTGAGTGCTAATATAGACCAGTTTAGCACGACACTGGTTTCCCTCGAGGCTGCTGACTCCAGATAACACTGAGTAGCAAACCAACTTTTGTTTATCCTGATTTGTATTGTATGTTAAAGTCTCCGAAGCGTTTTTGGTGGAGTTAGGGAGGCTGGTGTGCAATAGTGTAGGCGTCCGCCTTGTTGTTAGCGGGCGATGTGCCGCGTGCGGCGCGGCGCGGCGCGGTGCGGGGGGGGCGCGGCGGCTGGGTGGGCGCTGCTGGCGCGGCTGCAGCGCCTCCAGCCCGCCCTCGCCGCCGCAGACATCCTCGCCTCCTGTCAGTCGCAGGTCTCTACTGTTCTCTACTCAAATTATAATTATCTCTATTCATGTAGCTCTATAATATACTCTTAAGATATGTCAGATGTATCGTCAATTGCAAATGATTTCGAATTGATACTGGCTCATCCGTTATGCTCGTGAACGGGTGCCGCTTGTGGGGACTGGTCTGTTTAGGTTACGATCACTGATTAGATTTTTTGTTTTTGCAATAGTATATGCTGGTAATTACTCTATTTTTTCCAATTTTGAATTTAAATAATGAATCTGTATTATTGTAAACATGTACGACATTTATTTGAAAAGAATATGAGCCTAGTTTCTTGTCAATTCTTCTCATCTCGAAATTATTTCGAATTGACGGTAGATTTAATATATCATAAGTCTGTAATAGACCTACACGAATAAAGATATTTTGAATTTGAATTTGAAATTTAAAGAACATTGGAAGTTTTTCACTATTAAAAAATAAATTATAATTATGACTCCTTGAAAAGATATTATATTTTAAACCAATATTATTTAAGAATTGTATGTAAATTGAAACACAATTGTATTATTCACTACTATACTACTACTACGCTACTCACCCCGGCTTCGCACGGAGTGTACATGTATTATACATATAAACATTCCTCTCGAATCACTCTACCTACTAAAAGACTCGCTTCAATTTTAAAGATTTAAGCATATATAGACACGGACAGAGAGTGGCGGCGAGTTTGTTTAGTAGTATGTAGTGATGAGTGCGAGGGCGGTGTGTGCGGTGTGTGCGGTGCGTGGTGTGTGCGTGCAGTGCGTGCGCGCGCTGGAGGAGTGGGTGGAGGGCGTGCGCGCGGACGGCGCGGCCGGCGCCGTGGACGGCACCGTGCACCAGCTCGCCGCCGCCGCGCTCGCACACCTACACGCGCTCTCCCTGCACCTCAACACCATCGGTAACGAAATACACCAATATTCATAATATTAATACTACATTTAAAGACGAACTTGCTGTCCCCATGTATCGTTTAGAAAAAGTTAATAGGTCTTTTATGGGAATAGGTATAAAAATTTACAATAAGATACCAAAGGATATGTTGGAATTACCCTTAAATAAATTCAAAACATCTGTTAAATCATATTTACTGAGCGAAGCCTATTATTCACTAAACGATTACTTGAATGACGAGTGTGCATGGCAATAGTTGTTCACTGAATTTTCATTTAATGTTAGACATAGACACCTATATAAAAATACATTGTAAATAAACTGGCTTTAAAAAAAAAAGCAATTCAATTGAGTTTCTTGCCAGTTCTTCTCAATTGGATCTATATACCGAACTGGACGGTAGGGTAAAATTATAATGTAAAAATTTGACGTTCATAAGCGGCTAAAATGTACTACATGAATAAATGATTTTTGAATTTGAATTTGAACGTTGCTCTGTTTGGGGACCGACGTGGGTACTATGTCCGCGGTGCTACGATAGTTAACCGACGAAACAATTCGCCAGAGAACTAGGGTCACCGACATAGCTCTTCGTATTTACAAGTTGAAGTGGCAATGGGCTGGTCATATCTGTCGCAGAACCGACGCTCGCTGGAGTAGGCGTGTTCTAGAGTGGAGACCGCGAATTGGCAAACATATACGTATAGGACGCTCCGCAGCTAGGTGGAGCGACGACATACGTAGGGTAGTAACTGGATGAGAAAGGCTGAAGATCGTGTCCAGTGGCGTGCCTTGGGAGAGGCCTATGTCCAGCAGTGGACTGCAGTGGACTGATGATGATGATGACTACGATAGTTCGTTGGATGGCAATCGTGAGTAGCCATGACGCGGTCCAGTGTCTTAAGTAAACGTGCTCACGGATATGTCCAGACCTGTGGCGGCGCGGTGGGCCGGGTCATCGGGCTCCCTAAAATATGGTCGAGCGCAGTGATGGCCGGCTCGTCCTCATACTCGTGAACGAGTGCCGCTTGTAGAGCTCTGCTCTTATCACTGCGACTGATTTAATCTTATTGTGTTTTTATATTTGAGCCTAAATAAATTAATGCTGCTTGGTAGTTTATATTCACGTAACACATTCATAGTAAAATGTGAACTTATAAGGATTGTTTAAAAGAGCAAGACACAAGTTTCTTGCTCATTCCACTCGACCTCGTCATGGCTACTTACTATATAGTAGTTACAGTACTCGCACTTTACATAAGGATGCATGCGGCAATCAATACAAAAGCCGCTACGCTATCATATTTCAAGAAAGCATAATATATATAAATATAATGTGTGTTAAAAAAAATATCTGTAGTATCACTTTTTTTATATAAAGATTATTTATATTTCTGTCTACATTTTCATGCACATTCTTACCTATGTTAGAGCGTACGTCTAAAGGGCAACTACAGGGCGAAAACTTTACAAAGTATTTTTCAGTTTTATTACATCTCATTAATATTACAAAAGCGGAAGTTTGTGAGTATGGATGGATGTTTGTTACTACTGAATGGATTTTGATGAAACTTTACAGTAATATAGCTTATACATCAGAATAACATATAGGCTATAAATTTCACGCGGGTGAAATCGGGCACAGCTAGTAATACATTGATTTTGTTATAAACATCATTTTTATGGTCTGTTGGGATGTGTCTTCGATGCGTAGGCCCCGCGCTGGCGGCGGAGGCATCCTACGGGCGCAATATTTCGACGCAAACTGGGGATGCGCACGCGTATCTACTAGCCGTCTACATGCGTAAGTATTCTCAACCTTATTGCTACGTATATACAATAGAATTCGTTCAATTTATCCCACCTATATTGACCAACCGCCTATTATGACATATGTAATTGACAAATGACAAACGTAGAGAAATTTGGTCGGATATAGTGACCCATTTTTAATAAATATCTTTCAAATATAGTAACGACTTGATTACCACCTTCGGCAGTGTTCGGTAAAACGACGTGGTAACTACGACGATTGTTTCTGTATTAAAATAAATACATAAGTACTAATAAAGTCAGGTTGTTAATGTTTTACGAAATATTTTATGGAGTTATTTTGCAGAAGTACATTTCACCACTTAATAGATTTGTATTATTTTGTTTAATTCCGCTACAAATGGCGTGTGTGATCACAAATATTCAGTGCGGAAACTTGAACGTTACGATATTTTCTTTCATTTTTGGTCGGAATCGGAATTACTCAAAATTCAAGCAGTTTTTAAAATGTAGCATCATCTTTGACTAATACGATAAATAAAGAAAACAAATCAGTTATAGTCAACGCGGGTCAAATCGCTTCAAAGGCAAGGTATAGCGTTTTTAAATGATTTTAATGATGACTCTAGAATATTCTTTATAGTGTCTTATTGCAAAAAACTGAATTTCTGATGTTTCAGGTAAAGTGTTGGCTCAGCTGAACTTGGCGCTGCGCAACAAGAGTGAACAGTATCCTGATGCGCTGAAAGCTATATTCCTGTTGAACAATACTCTCTATTTATTACAGGTATTATTTGTTATTGTATAATTTGACGGCCTCGAAGTCTAATGGTTTAGCACACCGCCTTACTTCTGAAGGTCGCGGGTTCGATTCCTCGCACGGTACAAACATTTGTGTTCAGTACGGTTGGTTGTAACGGTCTGGGTGTTTTCTACATATTTACGTATTTATATAAAAAGTATTTTCGTTCAATTATAAAATAAATATCTTTATATTTTACTACATCCCCTCACAATCGATTTTTAGTTTAGGTACAATCCGAACATTAGTCCTTCGAGCCGGATCTAAACCTAAGGAAGGATTATATGGATGAGCCAATGTTTGGGATTGTTACGAATATTAATAAAAAAGATACTGATAATTAAAACTGATTATTGTTAAATGAGTATGGGCTGAGTTAAATGAATAAAACTAATTATTGTTAATTTAGTAAGTAATCAAGTATGCCACTTGATTACTTACTAAATGCCAACTGATTTTTGGTGAAATATGAAATGGTAACGCTATGAAATAATGTACGATGCTAGCTCGTACACTCCCCTTCTCCTTGGTATGTTTAGTGTTTTTTCTAACAGTAATGATACGATTTCTAGTAATATAATATACATATTTATTGGTGTATTATTTCAGGGCCTCCAACGTAACGGTCTGCTGGACTTGCTGATGTTGGCAGAACCGGAGTGTGAAACCAACTACCGTGATATGATACAAGATTACAAAAACGCCTACTTGCAGAGGTAATATTTAAAAATGCAACGACCATGCAAACCTTACAGCTCATAGCGCGATATTAGCTTTTCTATATTGTAACTCTGCATTATGCTATGTTGAATAAATTATTATTAAAGATGAAACGTATAGTTGTTGTGCAGAATACAGGATATTCGGCCAACCTTCATGCCGGATAGCCGAATATCCGGCCGAACATCGCCGAGTGGCGACTCGTGACACTAAGCGATCGGGTTTTCGGGCTTTTTGTTTATGATTGAATTAGCGCTTTATTGTCTTCTTGAATTGATTCCAAATACGAACATAAGAGGTTATGAAAAAACGTGTTGTTGTTGTTGTTTGAGTTTGTGGTAATTTTATTAGTGTTTTTTTTTTAAATGTTAAGTTAATAGTTACCGAGGAAATATGTCTTCAAAAAAAATGTCGTATTTAACGGAATTCCCGTATCCGGCCGGGTAATTCGCTTTTTCGGCTCGATATCCGGTATTCGGCCGGATAAATAGCCGAATATCCGTTTCATCTCTAATTATTATTATTAATTCCGATACAATGATATTGGATGTTCATTCATTTTTTATTAAATAGTTTGAATTACATATTAGCAACATAGAAATTTTGTGTATTGTAGTTAGTTAAAGAACTGACGTTGTATTTGTACTACTTACCATTAGGTGGGCTTAAGACCCACGTTAAAGTTTTTATAATTTACGAGTTGTAATATATAGGAAATTGTAATAATGTTGCAGTTGGAACAAGTTGCTGCAACACCTGCAGCTGGATGAACAGCTGCCGGCCAAACTGAGGGACAAGGATCGTCAACTACTAAAGGATAAGTTCTCAGTATGTGTTATTTTAATCTGTTCATGTGTAGTTTCCTTATATGGGCCAGGCGCGTTTTCGAACTATTGTATTTTAAGGGGGTGTGTATACACGTCCCTGTAGGGTTTAAGTTTATGACCTACTTCGTCGAGAACCTGGGAGCTTGTAATGATACTACGGAAAGACAGAATAAAAGTGTTTTTATTATATATTTTTTTCGGACTACTCTAATGCTGTTGGCCGCAGCTGGCCTTTACAGCTTCACCGGACGTTAGGGGCGAGTGCAGATGGCACTGCAAACCCGCGGATGGACTTATGGGGCGGCTGAAGGCCACCTCCCGCGTGACGGATACGACTTTAGTCTGAGAGCACCACTAGGGGTTCGAACCTCGGCTCAGGCCGTCGTTATATAGATCCCCGTTTGAATTGAACGGGGGAGATTTTAACATATAAATGTTTCGGCTTTATATACAAAGTTACACGTGTCGTGTACTCGCGCTACTGCAAGTAATAACGGATTGAAGATCGCGCAGCTGCGTTGCTAATGTTACCGTGCGTTAAGAGTTCTAGGAAGTTGCAAGGATTAAAGGGGAAGGTAGAAAGTATGTTGCTATAGTATAATAGAGCGAAAACGAACGATGCTGGAGTGGTCAATGTGTATATTCGTTTACCCATAGTTAAAATATTAGAATTCTTTTTATACAATTGTTTTATAATCACTTCTATCACTGCGCTTGTAATAAACGTCTACAAAGCATGTCTATTACTTTAATTTATTATATCAACACCAGCAGTATGACTGAGTAAAGAGCGTAGGCTCGAGCTCCCACTCGCAAGGTCACAGTGTGTCACCCCACTCCCTCGTCCTTGTCCTTACGCGTGCGTACTTATGCTTCCGCAGGCGTTCAACCGCGAGTGGGAGGAGGCATACCGCGCGCAGCGAGGGTACAGCGTGCCCGACGCAGAGCTGCGGGAGGCGCTCAAGAGAGACAACAAGCAGGCGCTGCTGCCGCCCTACTCCGCCTTCTGGGACGCCTACTCAACGCTGCCCTTCTCCAAGAACTTAGACAAATACCTCAAGTACACCCCCGTGCAGGTACTACCCACTACCTACTACCCCGCGTGTATAGCCTGCCCGACGCAGAGCTGCGGGAGACGCTCGACAGACATATTTTAATGAAAGTCATGAAAATGAGTGTATAGCGAGGACGTACGACTAAATTTTATCTCAAAAAATTTCAATAATATCGACTCCAATAAAATGTGGTCCTAATTTTTGAGTCTCGATATATGTATGTTATATCTGGTAGTACTCTTTCAAATAAAAGAAAAATCAAACTAATAATAATAATAATATAATAATAATAATCTCAGGACAATTCACACAGCGCCATCTAGACCCAAGTTAAGTTAGCTAAAGCTTGTGTTATGGGTACTAGATAACTGATACAAGTACATAGATATTTTTTTTTTTCGTAAATACATACTTATTATACATAGAAAACACCCAGACCGATACAAACAATCATACTCATGAATACAAATGTTTGTGCCGTGCGAGGAATCGAACCCGCGACCATCGGACGTAAAGCGGTGTGCTAGACCGCTAGACCACCGAGGTCGTCATTGCATTAAAATTACAGGAGTTTGAAGTAAAAAAAATTACCTCTGTTTTTTTAAGTCGTTTAAAAACAACGAAGTTGTATATAACATGTAGTATATTGTGTTTCAGATCGCTACGCAGTTGGATGAGTATTTCGACGAGGCTGCCTAGTAGTTGATATATTACTATACGTCGTTATAGGCTGCCGTTGCTCACCAACCGGCCACGTCGATTAGTTGACATACAACAGAATCAGATACGCTTGTAGTGGAAATCAAATTATATATTGATTCAGTGGATTTAACAATAGCCAAGTTTTTTTAAGGGTGATAATGTTGTATAATGTATATATACATTACATACATTAATTAAATAAAAATATATTGTTGTTGTTGTCTTTAATGTAAATATATCTCACTGATATACTATTTACTTACGTGTCTAGACATTGCAGTCTGCTTCAGCAGGGCACGTTGGCCAACGGTTGCTACTGACAGTAACAATAGTTCTATGACATTGGAAATATAAAGAAAAACATCAGCCCAGACGCTTTTATCAGGTTGTCTCTATGAAACTGTGCTATTAGTGATAAGACAAATTTGTAAACCACATTTGTAGGGATTTGTTCTGTTTTGTAATAAAGTTAGTTTTATTATTATTGCCTATTTACATTCCGAATGTTACTTTAGAGCTATCATAAATATCTCAAAATACATATATTAAGTTTAATTTTAATAGAAAATATTTATTATATTCACCGTTTTAATGTATGAGTCACAAGTATAAATAAAACAATGTAATAAATAAATATAATTATTTATTATAAATATTTTTAGTTCTTCCTCTTCTTTGACCGCCTCTTGGGCCACTGAAACAGAAGTTGTTGTTTAAAAGTATATAATAACAGTAATAACCCAGGGCAATTCACACAGCACCGTCTCATCCTAAACCAAACAAAGCTTGTACTATAGTATACGTTTTTTTTTACTAGTAGACAATAATTTACATAGAAAATAGAAATCATACATCGAACCCGATCATCGGCAGTATGGCGCTATACTACTGAGCCCGTCAATAACAGATGTACCTATTTATTATTCAATCAACTATTTCGAAAGTTCGGCAAAAAGTAATATTTAAAAAAATGTCAAACTGCCTATTTATATAAGATGGCTTTGGTATGATAATAGTTACGCAATTTTGGATCTTATTACCATACACAAATGATTCTAATTTAAACAATAATTTCGCGACTGAACTTAATTGAAGCAAAACAATTGATTTTGTACTCAATTACAACTTAGTTACGTCCATAATTACTATAGAACTTTAAACTCATCTTAGTTTGGAACTAGATGGCGCTGTATGAGTTGTCCAAGATTATTTTCTAATTTTATGTAACTAGAAGTGCAAGCTGTTGGCCCACCTGATGGTAAGTGGGACCGTTGCCTATATACATGAACAGCACTGCGGATATAACGTCATTATGTGACATCCGTATCCAGATTTATAACGCTTCTTTATAGATTAAAGTCTTTACAATTACGCCTCTTGATCTGTTCATTCGATATTGTAAGCCAATTAAAAAATGTGGACGAATACATGTTTTAACTAATTTGTCTATAAACATATAGCTTAACTTGAAATTTGGAATATATAGACTATTTCAAAAGCTTAGGGAAGCCTACTACAGACTTTCCCAAACATACACGGAAATGTTATGTTTTAAATATAAAAAAAACTCCGTACTAATGAGGCCCTTTGGTTTTGTATATAGGACACTCAATATTACCCGCCTTCACTGGATTGAAATATAATTCACACAGTGTAAGTATATAATTAAAAAAAAATATAATGACAATTTACACAGAAGGTTAGACCAATCAATGGGATTTTCTATGTATAGGAAATCAATATTTTTATTGCCCTATTTATATAACTTTGCTCTTGCAATATTGAATTACTAATGTCAGCTTAAATAAAAATTAATTATTAAACAAAGTTAAAATTTAATTTCTAATTTATTTTAGGATGTTAATAATATAAATTACTAATTAAATTTTAGTTAAATAAATATTAATTCATTACAAACCTGAAAATTTAATTTGTAATTTATTTTATTAATAAAATAATTCTTTATTGTAAACAATCAATTGATTGGTCTAATATATAAATACAATCAACAATATAATTTAATGTACAGACAGACAGACAGGGCAAACAAACAATAGCTTTACTTACTTATGTATTTCTTATTAGGTAGACCTTAAAAATTATGTCAATCCAGCTAATGTTACCTTGTGTATACCAAAAAAGATTTACAGATTCATATATTTCAGTTGATTGTATTATTCAATAGTTATTTTAGTATTTGAAAACTAATAATCGGTATTCAGTAATTTTTGAGGTACATTCATGATTACAAATATTTACTCGACAGAAGATCAACAAAGAACAAAACAAAGAAATGCAACATCGCATCTCCTCTCAAATAGTGTTACAAAAAAATAAAACACCAATTTCGCCAGTGAAAGACGTTTCAAATGTTCTAATTTATTTTTCACATTTCTGATAAATAAGCTAAATAAAAACTGAGCTAAAAGTATAATGAATTCTAAAACAAGTTAAATAAATAAAAAAATAAATTTTAATATTGTCTTTAATTGTTACTCTTTCTGAGCAGAGATGCGACGTACTAAAATCATGTTATTATCATCATTTTAGCATTTGCATATTTGTCATCACTGTCCACTGCTGAACCGGTTTTCCCATAAAATAACGATAAAATATTTCATTTCATAAATCGTTTTGTTTTTGGGAAAATATATATAAAAGTTATTTTGTTTGAAGTGGGATTTGAACCCATTTCGTTTAAGTACATGTATTCAGATCTATAAAACTAGTTGCACATTTAGAAAATCATGAATGTATCTAGTTTGGGATTTCAGACATTTAAATTACTACTGCCGTGTCGATAGTCGCTTATTTTCGCTCAAATAATTCAAACATAGCTAGCCTATTTATATAACTATAGTTTTTGTGGTACGACTTATCATGTATTAATGGTATGGGGTGCCAGTGAAGGATGAAGGAATGAAATCAGATGAAGCTGTGACACGAATTGACGATTTATCACGATGGTAATTAAGGAGTCCGCGTAGAGGTAGTTATAGATTATAATTATAAAATTCATGAATATTATTTTACCGTGTACGTGTGTTATGTATTAAAAATACATAATACATACACTATTCGTGTGGTATTAGATGAAGTAAAACAGCGAGTGAAAGGGAATAGAACGATGTCGGAGAGAAAATTGAACAGAATAACGAAATAAACACAATGCACTTATAAAGAAATAATTTCTTATGACGTGCACTTTATGTGAGACTTTTAAAATCGAAGAATGGACCTCTCTTTGTGACTTATGTATAATATTTTAATTAATATTAAAACGAAAAAAAATATTCCTATATTCTACATTATACTATTACATTACGCAAAGATGCAAGCTCTCCTTTGAATTTACAAAATCAGAATTTGTTGCTCTTAAAGGCACTTATATATATATACACATACGTACGTTCCTTCACACGCGAATTGGTTATGGCGCAGTAAAGAGTGCGCAGAGAAAGCGTACGAGAAATGACGTGCGCGCACCGGCAGCTCGCGATTCCAAAGTTTTTTCCAAAGACACTTAATTTTTTTTATAAATGACTAAAAACTATAATTATGTTTCTACTCTATAGTCAGATGTCCGCCATTTTGAAATGATAATTAATTATTGCTAAAAGGCAGTAAAGCACGATTGTAGAACGCGGGAGTGTGTCAGCTGGCGGATCGCGGTGTATTATGTGAAAGCATATTCGCATATGAGAGAGCGTACGTGTAAAGGTAGATAATGTATTCATTAGGAATCAATTTTTGGCCCCAGTAGTGTATTAAGTGTTTATGTATATATTTATGATCATTTTGCAAAAAGACAATAGATTTGAACTCATCGATTCTATTATTGTTAAAAATAAATAAAACAAATAAATCTGATTTAAATTTGGAGTAAAAAATATCTATTTCAAATTTGTATTCCTTATTATGGCGTCCTATTGTGACGTTACATCTAACCTAAAATATATATGTATTATTATTATGATTATCATAATGAATTATGATTTATTATAGTCTGTGGTTTTCACTGAAATGTTTTTGTTAGGTAATCTTTATTAGGCGTGAAGCAATGCTCTTCGATTGGATTTTCACATAATATGGTAGATAAACGTAATTATGCATTTTATGTTATTAAATTTGAGCCAATATTTGTATTTATAATAACAATTTAAATATTTATCATCCTAATCTTTGGTATAAATAAATATATCAAAACTTCTACGGTTGATTAGTAGAGAAAAAGCATAATTTATTTCAAACATTAACCACAGTTACTGAGAATACTGATTTCATAATCACATAAAATACCATAAAATTAATATTCGTCGTTGATGGCATACATAATGTTTTAGCAGATCCATTAGATAGTGCGGCTAAAGTAATTTGCTCATTGGTGAAGTGTATTAGTATTAGTTTGAGGGTAGAATGGGACAGTCATGTATTTTTAGTTTGTTCAAAAGTCCCTTCAATTTCAAATAGTTCTAAAATTCTTTTATCTACCAAATTATTTATTAAAATCTGCAATTATTTTGTTTGTGTGTAAGTATAAATAAATATCACTGACTGAATCAGAAATAAGAATTTATTTGAATTACAGAACCACATTAAAGTATCATTGCCGTGAGAATATATGTATCTCATACAAATTTCGAGCCTACACGAGTGCAATCTGAACTACTTGTAGGGTATATTGTCACGATACAAAGATAGTCCAACATAAAAGCGTTCATAACCGACCATCGACACGGGGCAAACATTTAAAGATGTTACCAATGTTTCTGGACACAAATATCACCATTTCCAAAGGATTTCGAGTAAAGTAATGCAGATTGACGGCGATACCTTTTGACCTGCGCGCCTCTGCTCCTTTTCGTCCAACTAGTGACAAACAAACACACAGCCTTCTTGCGAAATATGATCCACAATCACAATATATAAGACATCAATTTAAATGACTTGTAATGCAAATTCCATTGGGTTTTCTAACACCAATTAGTTTGAAAAAGTTATTATTTTGTGATTGTTAAGACTAATAACCAATATTGAATTGAAGATATCTTTATCTAAGAACAAACAAACATACAAATGTTATACAGGATGACTTTGTTTACCGTTCGGAAAAAATTATAACGCATAATAGGTATATACATGGGGATTCGGTTTATATTATTAAAAAACTTGCTATTTGTTTTTGTTTTTGTTTGTCGTAAAGATGCATTAATAAAACAGTTCTTAGAATTAGAGTTTGTTATGGAAATTGTAAATTTAAAACTTAATATTTTGACATAAACAAACATTTAAATTAAAAAATATGATACATTTTCGTATGAAGTTAAGTTATAATCATAGTTTCTTAAATAAATAAATTTTATAGGCGGCGTAGGTATATACTTATGCCGCGCTATACACAACGCGGAGTGAGAATTTTTATTCTTTGTTTACATAAAAATCAAACGCTTGGTATATATTGTAATTTTAGTAGTTGTATTAAATAAAATTGCTTTGTAGACAGCGTAGTTACATACATACCCCGCACAATATACAACGCCAAATGAGAAATTCTATTCCGTATCTTCAGAAAAATCAAACGTTTGGTATATATTGTAATTTCAGTATCTGTATGAAATAAAATTACTTTGTTTAGAGAGTAGATAGGTACATAATTACATCGCGCTATATTTATAAACATGGAATAAGAAATTTTTACAGTGATTTCAGAAAAATTCAAATCCTTAGTATATATTGTAATTAGACTAAGTATAGTGTTTGACTATAGTAATTTATATAACATGTATGTATTAATTTTCTACGAACGAAAAAAAAAGTCACCCGGTATATAACTGGATATTGACGAAAAAGTATTAAGTTTTGTTTCCCTTCAGACAAAAATAAATTACATACCAACTTCCTAAAGGCATCTCTTGAAATGTCGTGTAATTTTGAGAAGATGATTTTAGAAAGTTTACTAAGTTGTATAAGTTAGTTACTTTGTTATACTATGCAGGAATCGAACCTGTACCGTTAATAAAAAGTAGAGTTTTTGCGTTGGGTAATATATTAATATTAATAATAATATTATTATTACCTTATGATCGCTCTCAAAAATGTATTATTTCCCTTTGTTATAAATATTAAATGTTTATAATCTTTCGTAATATTCAAAATAAAAAAAATTTGGTCATTATTTATTCCTATTTCTATTTATTAATATATGAAATATTAAGCAGTAATCTATTTTTATATCAATATATATTTGTATCAATAAATTAAACAATAATTATATTAACTATTTTTATTGCCAATCAGTTTGCTTTGTAAGCTGCGTTACGGTTGTAGAATGTATATTATGCAGTGAAATTACAGGATAAGAGGCATGATAATAGTTCTCTGAAATGGCAACGCATGGTGGCATCACTAGTCACATGATAACGTGATGTCTATAGTGCTGTTCATGTTTATAGGCGACCGTTACCGCTTACCAACAGCAGCCATCAGCTTATTTACCATTCCAATTAAATAAAATTGACAATTGCCTAACGGACGGAAATTAATTTAATAATAAACAGCAAATATTACAGTTTTATTGGTAACTAGCGACCCTTTACAAATCTTTGAATATCTCGGCTTGTTCTATACTATAACACGCATGTATTATACATATAAACCTTCCTCTTAAATCACTATATATTTTAAAAGATCTAAGTGAACAGACAGTAGTTTTATACTATGTAAAGATAAAGTTACTGAAATATTTGTACGCTGGACATAAGTAGATATTGTAAGGGTCATTACATGTATAATAATATATAAATATATTACTAAAAATAAGTTTGAAATCTTTATAAAAGTGACTTAAACATTCTCACTGTAGAATAAATAATGTTTTGAGAGCGATCATATATATATTTTCAATTATCATATTACTTCACACACCAACTTAAATTGCTTTTTCTCATATAAATGGCTAATTGCCATTGCAAAGCGTTTTGCACACTTGAATAGCAATTAAAGTATTGCCATTCAAGTTTGGTTCATTTAATAGAAACTGACAACCGTTGTCTACATACGACAGGTACTACGCACATCACAAAAACATTGTGATGTTTATTTTAGGGACCATCCATTAATCACGCGATGTTTTTTAATATTTCAACCCCCTCATCAACCCCTTAGTCCCCTTGATGACACATGCTGTGGTTTAAGTATAATCCCCTGTCTACAAAATCACGTGTCACAATTTTTAATACCTATAAAGAATCTTGAAATTTTTAGAATATCTTTTAACACGTTAAAGACCGCATGGGTCCATCACCGGTGGTCACTCTGCAACGAAAGTAAATTTACACGTTGGGACCGAGTGATCACCTGATACCAACGTGTAAATCTACTTGATGGTGATTATCCGTTGGCACTTTGAAATAAATCTAGGGGTTAAATAATGTCTACATCAAATAATTGTACACGAACAAAATATTTAAAAAATGATCATGAGGCCATGATCGACGTTCCGGGTTGTATCTGGCGCAAAGTATTTCCTTAGCAATTCAACGTGGAAATGCCGCGAGCGTTATGGGAACCTTTAATCCAGGTACGATACGGGACAGTCTTAGCATTTTACTTTTATGTATTTTGTATTGTATGATAAAAATTTCATATTAATTATATAGAAAATCCTTTATTCATATAAAAAAAAAATCTATACATATAAATAACATTGGAGTGTCTGTTTGTAACATTGAAATAACCGTTTTTTCCTATTTCCTATTTCAATTTGCATATGAATATAAATACGACACATACACCAAAAAACCACTTTTAACAATTTTTGTCAGTCTGTCTGTCTGTCTGTCTGGCGGTCTGTTTGTTCCGACTAATCTCTGAAATGGCTGGATCGATTTTTACGGGACTTTTATTGGCAACTAGCTGATGTAATAAGGAGTAACTAGGCTACTTTGATTTCAGAAAAAAAAGTTAAATTCCACGCGGACGAAGTCGCGGGAATAGCTAGTTAACAATAAAAATGCCGGTACCTATGTGAGAAATAATTTTCAAAGTGGTCTTCAACGTGTTAAATATAACATACAAGTAAATAAAGTATAATCTAATTTTGTTCTAGAAAAGTCTAGTTTCTGAACGAAAAAGTAGCTTGCGTTCAGAAATTGCGCGTTTGACGAATAAATAAATACACGTGTTTCATTACATCCCTCCTCTTTGGAGAATCTCGTGTTTAATGGACAGGCCCTTACCTCATGTTTGAACAATCCTGGGACATATCACCGTAGATTTACCACAGTATCCTGTAATTTCACCTCTATTACTTACCCTTCAGACTGAAACAATGTTTTCAGTAATACACTTGGTTGAAACATTTCTTCTGATGGATATTGCTTCGACACCAGATATGGTTTCAAAGGTTTTAAGATTTTATTCATAATAAGCAGGATTATATGATATGATTATATTAAAAATATATATATGTATTATATAATAAATGCTATAGTATACCTGTCTTTGTGTTCCTATATTATAAATGCGAAAGTAACTCTGTCTGTCAGTCTGTCTCGCTTTCACGCCAAAACCACTGAACCGATTTAAATGAAATTTGGTACCTATGTTTTAACAAAACCATCTTAACGGGGTGATATTTTGTACAGAATTGAGAAATCTCGTATAACAGGTAGTAATTTATAAAGTCCGATTTGTGAAGAAATTCGGTAATCAAAAGATCAACATTATCTTATCATCATCTATTGATACCCCGCCAGTGTATATCGTTAGTGCAGGCAGGTGCACTGTATCATATGTTATATAAATAATACTAAATTATTTAAATTATTAACCGGGTCTTAACACGAATATTTTATGGCAAATAAAGGTATTTACTTCTCTCGACGTTTCGACTAGGTTGCACTAGCCGTGGTCACGAGCTGACTGACAGGTAAATACCTTTATTTGCCATAAAACGTTTGTGTTAAGACCCGGTTAATAATTTAAATAATGTATATTAAACACGAAAGTTTAAAAATACTAAATTGTTTGAATTAAAATAAATAATTTATTTATAATGTTTTGTTAAAATATCGTTATCATTCCCAAGAAAAAAAATATGATGTCAACAAGTCATTGTCTCTGATTACACCGTGTGGGATAACAGTCTTGACGGGGCATCATTTGTATAAAGCAGCATGTCTGTAATTATAATTTCAACAAACGTTAGCACTTTATCGTACAACGCCAAATGAATGGCGACTGCGAATTTGAAGCTATATCTGGTGTCGATTTTACAATAAAACACAATTTATATGTATGTGTATGTATATGTGTGTATGTGTATGTATATGTATGTGTATGCATGTATGTATGTGTGTGTGTGTGTGTGTGTGTGTGTGTGTGTGTGTGTGTGTGTGTGTGTGTGTGTGTGTGTGTGTGTGTGTGTGTGTGTGTGTGTAGGGCTGACCTTGATCGCTTGCGGGGGCGTCCGTTGTCGTGCGGGGGGGCGGCGCGGCTCGCGACTCAGCTGATCAGGGTTGTGTGTGAACGCGCACGGCAGGATACGTCGGAACCTGTGTCACCAAACGGCAAAATAATAAAAGACAGCTTCGGTGGTCTAGCGGTTTTAATGGTTTACGTCCGATGGTCGCGGGTTCAATTCCTCGCACGGCACAAACATTTGTATTCATGAGTATGATTGTTTGTATCGGTCTGGGTGTTTGCTATGTATATTATGCATGTATTTACGAAAAAGAAATTATCTATGTATTTGTATCAGTTATCTAGTACCCATAACACAAGCTTTGGGTCTAGATGGCGCTGTGTGAATTGTCTTGAGATTATTATTATTATGAAAAAGTGGAACTGAGGGTTAGTAGTATATCTTACTTATGGTAAGGCAGTAGGACCGGCGCGAGTGTAGGCGCGAGACGCAAGGCTGCGGACTCGTCCGCTTCGGCCGCCGTCGCTCCTCCAAACTGCAGCTGCAGGGCCTGCACCCCCGCTGGCGGCGGCCCGCACGAGCTACTCTTGTATAGCAGCGCGTTGAGCCCGTGAACCGGCTGTACATACAGCTCTCATTATGGACCATATATGATACATACAGTTGAAGAGAACCCTGCTAAAGTTATACGACACTTATCAAGAACATGACAAGTTGAGGGAGGAGGGGTAGACACTGGTATGAACGTCCTAAATACCTCCAAATTAAAAATATTTATCTATACATATATATAAAACGGGAGTGTCTGTTTGTAATATTGAAATAACCGTTTTTTACTACATGCATATGAATATAAATACGGTACATATATCAAACTAACATTTTTTATAATTTTTGTCAATCTGTCTGTCGGTCTGTTTGTTCTGGCTAATCTCTGAATTGGCTAGACCGATTTTAACGGGACTTTTATTGGCAGGCAGCTGATGTAATAAGGAGTAACTTAGGCTACTTTTATTTTGGAAAACTATAGTTAAATACGACGTGGACGAAGTCGCGGTAATAGCTAGTAAATAATAAATATGCTTTATCGTCAATATCGGCCGTTTGACCCGCAGCAATGATATTTAATCATTGCAACCAGGACACCAAAAGAAACACTATAATTAAAATATCTGTGAATATTATCATATTTATTGAACGAAGCCTACTACTCACTAAACTATTACTTTATTAATAACAAATGTGCACGGCAATAATTGTTTATTCCTGGGATTTTCATATAATATTAAACACCCATAATTATAATTAGTAAATCACGGGATATTACCACGTTTTATTTTTGTTGAGTTCACGATATTTCGGCAGTGTTTCAACCGCTATGATCACGAGTAAACGAGCAGCGAGTAGATGGTAAATAAATCTTTTATGGGCAGACATATTCGTCTACCTTCACACGTCTTTGTTTATTGCTACTATTGAATCCCTTGATTTACTAATTATAATTATAAATAATGACCGCATCAAACTTAAAACAGTATATAAACAACCATATAAATAGACAATGTAAAGTGGCTTTAATAAAAAAGAAATTCAGTTGAGTTTCTTTTCAGTTATCAATCGAATCTGTACTTAACTGTAGGGAAATAATATTAATACAAAAAATTAGCTGTTAATAGCGGCTAAAATGGCCTATACTTGAATTGAGGGTAATAAAATTCTTACCTCATGCTCAAGGATGTAATATCCAGGCATTAGACCTTGGAGCTGGTTCAGTACTGTGTATATCCTGTTGGCAGCCTCAGAGAGTACATCATTGCCTGTCGTTAACTGGTCCAGCGTTACGTTGTCTATGGTTACTATTTCGCCTGTGGGCGCGTCTATTCTTACTGTAAAAAAAATATAGAAAGATTATATTAATATTAGCTGACCCCGGAAACGTTGTATGTATATGCCATATAAATCATCGCTATTAAGAAATAGGGGTTGAAGATAGGTGAAAAATTAGGGTTGTACATATTTTTTAATGCTAAATCGTAATAAAATATAAAAAATAATAAATTTGATCAATTCCTGGTGAATTTATCATTATGGGCTAATTGACCTGACCTAGTGCCTAACTTATCATCCTCCACTGGTGCCCCAGTGTACACTGGTGCCAACAGTTAACGCAGGCAGGTGAATCATACAACATTTTGTAATGGATTACCCTTAAAAAAATATAAATATATAAATACTATACCATTCAGCAACGAAGCGTTTCTTCGCAGTAACAGCGACAATGCTAAATTTCTGATTTTGTCCTGCGACTGACTACTGCCGCCCAGCTCGATCTGGTACTCCGGTATCGGTTCTAGGACCACTTCGCCAGTTTCATCCTGAAACAATGAAACATGTGAGCTTGCAGGCCTCGGTGGTCTAGAGGTTTAGCACACCGCTTTCCGAGGTTCGCGGGTTCGATTCCTCGCACGGTATGAATATTTGTATTCCTGAGTATGATTGTTTGTAACAGTCCATTTTGTATGTTTTTAAGTATGTATATCTATGAGTTATTTAGTATCTATAACATAAGCCCAACTTGGCTTGGGAGTAAATGGCATTGTCTGAATTGTTCAGGTATATTAATATCATTATTACATTAAATAACAAGATAGATGCTGTTGAGTAGTTTATTTAGAACAATTTAAGAGAAAAATCCCATCCCAATAAAGAAAACTCAACAGAAATACGAAAAAAAAATTCAGTTGAGCTTATTGCCAGTTCTTCACAATTGATTCTCTATACAGTACTGGAGGGCAGAGAAAAAAATAATACAAAATCTTGACGTTCATAAGAGGCTAAAATGTCCTACATGACTTTTGATTTAATTTAATTTGATTTGATCATCAAAACTGTCATCTTATAAACTCACCCTCACTCTATGTGTACAGTGTATGATGAAGTCCACCGTCTCTCTGGTGTTGCCATTTTTAATCTGCCACTTTCTAAACGACCTCGGTGAGATTCTAGCAAAATCTGTATCTGTAAAGATTAATAATCATATTATATTACTAGTTGTCCCGGCAAACGTTGTTTTGCCATATAAATTTAAGTATATTAAAGTTGGTGATAGAAGGGTGAAAATTTAGGGTTGTATGTATTTTTTAATGACACATAATAAAAAAAAAATTATTGCCCAAAAAATAAAAAAAATGTTAGAATGGTACATCTCGATACTTACCTTTACACGTGCAATTGTAGAATCCTACACTGTCAACTTTGTCATTGCGTTCTTTGTTTTTCTTACAGTGTGTCTCATTACTTGGCTTTTTCTTTACATTATTAGACTTTTGCTTAACTAGCATTTCTGTATCTGAACCTGACGTATAGTTACTCTGTGGGTTATTTACTGAAATTAAAATATAATTATTATCTGTACATATAGATAAAATTGTAGAGTCTGTTTGTAATATTGAAATAACCGTTTTTACCACATGAATACTGTGCATACACTACAATACTACAATAACATTTTTTACAATTTTTGTCTGTTTGTTCCCACTAATCTTTGAAATGGCTAGACCGATTTCGACGGGACTTTTTTTGGCAGGTAGCTGATGTAATAAGGAGTAACTTAGCCTTAGCCTTACTCCTTATTACATCAGTACTTTTATTCTAGAAAAATCTTTTATTTTTGATAAATAGAGTTAAATTCCACGCGGACGAAGTCGGAGGTACAGCTAGTTATCAAATAAAATGTTATATGTAATAATAATAATGACTACTATTCCGCCCCGTCTTTACATGGGTAGATAACTTTGTGAGTATTATATTAAAATACCATAATATGTAGTCTAAGAATGTGGTGAACATACCTGGTTCATCAATAAACAGAACATCATCATCATCACTACTTGAGTCAACATCAAATAAACTGGCCATAAGACTGGATTTTCTGCTCTTGTTATTGTCGTTGCTTGGATTTTTCGTTTTGTTTAAATCATTTTTATTCACATTATTATTTTTCATTCTGCAATAAATTATACCTTCATGTAAAAAAATAACTATCTATATAGAACATAATCATGTGACCGTAAAGTTTAGAAATGGTCCAAGCTTAGACCCTTGTGGTACACCCATTAGAACAAAGAATATTTAATTGGTTTCAAATTTTAATATTGCTGAGATAATAAAAGAGGATTATTATTATTATTTATAATTATACTCATTAGTCACTACTAAGTTCAGAAGAGTAAGGATCTACTTACGGTAAAAGTGTATTTTCTAATAGATGCCGTAACGCCTTATATGTACGTGTCTGCGCTGCCTCGCGAACTAAGGTAAACTCGCTGTCCAATATGATTACGTTGCAATTTTCGCCATCTAATAATAATTGGTAGTAACATTACAAATCTAAATTAACATAGATATCAAAGGTACCTTCTAAAAGAGCTTGGTCTGTCTAGAATTGGAAGTAAGTTATATACTAGAACGTGAATCTGAAGTTAGACTAGCAGGATCCTGCTGCGGAGTAGCGGTGAGTGTTGAAGTGCAATTTTCGCCATCTAAATATAATTGGTAGTAACATTACAAATCTAAATTAACATAGATATCAAAGGTACCATATCTTCTAAAAGAGCTTGGACTGTCTGAATTGCAGTAATGCATATAGCATATAGTAGAACATGTATCTAAAGCTGCACTAGCACGTTTCTACCAGATTTGGCTGGGCTGGGAGAGAAACACGAGCAGTGAAGGTGAGTGTTGAAGTGCGTCGTCAAAGGAACCTCACCTACACTGCTCGGAGTTTCCTTCCAGCACGATGAATGCATGGAATGCTAAGGAGTGCAGCTCATTATCAAAAGTAGTCTATGTGGGTATCACAGTCAGTCTTACTTATTTCTACTGTCAAAAAGATAGCTTTGTAAGCTGTATTTCTGTTGAAGGAAGCAGATAAGGCAGTGCGTAGCCAGGACAGACCGCTAGTAAATATATAGTACCTTGTCCAATAGCTGAGCAGACAGAGATTGGAATCCTCCAGCGACCACTACCCAGCAGACAGCACAGTGCGGGTTCACTGGCCACCAGCGGAGTCCCGGACGCCGCTGCCCATTGCGCCAGCGACAGGTACACCTCACGGAGCGGCAGCATAGTCTGGGATTCTTCGTCTGGAGAGCAACAGGGGTACAGATTCATTTATAGTTGTAAAACAAGCATATGTTACTGCTATGAAACTTTTCAGGTGTTTTACGTTCTGGCATTCTTATTTTAACTTCATCATATATGCTAATAATATAAAGAGGAAATATTATATTTTTAGTATGTTTGTCTGTTTGTAATGTATAACCATCTAATGATGACATCTCTTTAAAGAATACTACGACATTTTATCAATCGTTATATTGTCATTTCTTCCCGCAGAAATAAAAGTTTAAATCTTAGGCTAATACTTCACATGAGTACGGCCAAGGGGCCCTTAAACCTGCACTCGGATCACAAGTCCCGGGAAGTGCTCGAAGTTTCCTTCTCTGTCACACGATGGATCCAGATCCAAAGAAGTTAAGAAGCTTGTATTTCTCTCTATCAAATACTTGTGTACTTACTTGGTAGTACGAATCGGCACGGGTGCTTGTTACAAGGCTCTGGCACTGGGTACGGCCTTAATACTGTAGTCTTTTTGTGTAGCACTTCTGAATACTCCAGTAGTGGCAACTCTGAAATATTTACCTGTAAAAGTGGTATAAGTGAATATAATCACAGCTACCCTAACAACTACCTCAGTTGTCTAGCGGTTTAGGATATCGCCTTATTACCGATGGTTGTGGGTTCGATTTTAATGAGTATGATTGTCTGTATCGTTCTGGGTGTTTTCTATGTATATGATGTATGTATTACAAACAAAAATTATCTATGTTTTTATATCAGTTGACTAGTACCCATAACACAAGCTCTGCTTACCGTGGAACTAGATGGCGCTGTGTAAATTGTCCAGAGTTATTTAATCATTTTACTTATCCATACTAGACAAATGCGATCAATACATAGAAACATTTTGTTAAATACATACATATTAATATAGAAAACATCCAGACTGATACAAACAATTAAACTCATGAATACAAATATTTGTACTGTATGAGGAATAGAACTTGCAACCATCAGAAGTAAAACAGTGTTTTAAACCGCTAGAACATGAAGCCATCACAGTAATGTATTGTTAATTCTTCTATCACATATAGTAGATTGATTGCACCAAAAGAGCATGTCTAATCAGTTCATTATTATAATTTATTATATAAAAAAATATGAATTAAAAATAACTTACACTTTTGAGATCTTTATTGAATACTAAATTACATTTATGTTGACTTCCTTCCAGTGGAATTTGCGCGACCATCTCATAATCTTTTGGCAATGATTGCAGTTCATGCACTTTCAATTTGAACTCTGCTTCGTACACCATCTCGATCGGGGGTTTGGGCCGTAAAGCCCGGGAGCAGTGGTTATTGGTCCATTGAGTTTTGGCCCATTCTATGTATTCCTTTTGTTCTTTTTCATATATCTCCTTCAATTCCTGTAACGACATGGAAATAATGATTAATTTTTGCATATAGTATTTATAAAATTTAAATAAATAATAATAATAATATTTATTGCAGTTATAGGTTGTGTTACATAATTAAGTTGTACATAAGAGTCAATACAATTTTAACATACAAGTGTAATTGTGCCATCTGAACTAGTATAGAATTATACTGTATCTCAGATGTCACATACTTTCCCAGGGTGCATATTATTTCACTTATTAACATTTACTTTTACACAACACAAAAACATACATACAACTTAACATAACATTACATATTCGATAAAAAAAGGAAACAATATAAAGACATAAAGAAATAAAAAGACAAAAAGAAGTTGTCTATCCGTTGTACTTTTAAGGGTGTGTGTGCATACACGCCGCTGCAGGCAAGGATAGCTTGAAGGTCGGGACAGCTGCGATGCTAAAGGGTTACTTGCCATTCGATAAGAACCTGTAGAAAGTACTTGTATGCTGCTAGATACTTATGAATGGGTGCATGTAGGGACTTCATTTCCATGACTGATTAATTTGTTACTCAACAATTTTATTTATTTACTTTTGTCAATTAATAGTTTGCATTTTTTTTTTATTTAGACTTACTCTTAATATGTAATGCTGAATATTTGTTTAATAGAACAACATTACTTGTTTTTCTTGTGATGAGTCTCCCTTCCATATGAGTGGTAGAATAAATAAGATATGACTATTCAACACTTATTACATTAAATTTAGTTGAATAAATATTGGTAAAATAAAATAAGGATTGAAGAAGTACTTGAGAGGATTAAAGAAAAGATATAGATCATAGATATTATTGAGAATAGGCGGGGATACGACACGACGAACTAATTAACAACATTATTGAAGGAAAATAGATGGAAAGAGAGGAAGGGGAAGACCAAGACACAGCTATATCAAGCAAGTTAAAGAAAAAGTTGAAGTCGTGTCGTACCAACAGCTAAAAGGACTGATAGAAGATCGTGGAAGGTGGCGGGAGCTATATTGGTTGAAAAAGCACATAAAATAATGTGGACTTACTCGGAACACCCTGTGGTCCTGTTTCGTAGGTCGTGGTATGAATTGTTCGTCCAACACATGAGGGTTTTGTGAACATAACACTTTGAGGCACTGATAGTGCTGATGGGTCGATAAAGCAGATAATTTCAGGTGTTGCGCTATGGGTCGTATCCCTGCAACATACAGCCGCAATTGACGCTGCTCCTGTGAAGAAGTTACGTTTAGTTAGACTCAGTGATTACTATTCAGCACACTGTGTTACTTCAGAAGGTTGTGGCTTTGATTCCTCACAAGATGCAAATATTTGTATTAATGATGTTTGTATTAAGCTGGGTGTTATAGATCTATATTATGTATGTATTAAAAAAAAAATGTATTCAAATATGCATACCAGTTGTGTAGTACCTATAACAAAAACTCTACTTAGTATGGGACTAGAAGGCTTGTATTATTCTGGGTGTTATTGATGTGTATAATGCATGTATTTACAAAACAAAATGTATTTAAATATTTCTACAAGTTGTCTAGTAGCCATAACAAAAGCTCAACGTAGTATGGGATTAGATGGTGCTGTGTGAATTGTCCAAGGATATTATTAATAGTAAATCTAAATATATATGTAACTCGAAGGTGACTTACATAGTGATCTATCAACACACAGCCCAAACCACTGGATGGATCGGGCTGAAATTTGGCATGCAGGTAGATGTTATGATGTAGGCATCCGCTAAGAAAGGATTTTATTAATTCTACCCCCAAAGGGATAAAATAGGGGATGAAAGTTTATATGAAACTTTGTCAATTTTACACAAATCGGGCTGAGACTTTGCATGTAAAAAGCTACTATGACGTAGGACCTAAGAAAAGATTTTGATAAATTCCACCCCTAAGCGAAGCTGTGGGCAAAAGCTAGTACTGTATAAAATTGTTAAATACCCAATAACACTGTAATCATCACAAGTACCCATTCCTAACAATCACCTTCCCTGTTGATTAAAACAACTTACAAAATGATTTCTTTTAAATATTTGATCCCAGTCGAATCTATTGTGATGAGTATCATTCTCCGAGTCACTGGAGACCAGGGGGTCATGGAACTTATTTCTCAGTATCCTCTCGGTCACACAATTGTCCACCTCATCCTCAGTTATGAACTGAAAGTCTCTCTGTGACATACACCTGTTTAAAAAAACAAAATAATCATATACTAATTAATTTAAATGTAAAAGTAAAATAATTTATTTCTTCAAATTAAAGTAATCAAATCAAAATAATAATTTATTTTATATCAGGCTTTTATATGGTATGAATATGTCAAATCTACTATTAGTTTGGTGTACGAACTAAAAAGAACAAACAGGAAACTTAGCTCTTATTCTATTCTAAAATACAGATTTATTTTTTATTAAAGTAGGGAGAATGTAGTGACCAACAGCAGATGTTATTGTATTTTTGTAAAAAGGAAATACTGTGATCAGTGCCCGTAACTCACTGACCATTCCCCACAAGTGCCAGATAAGAAGTATATATAATAATTTCAAGTAAAAAAAAATTTATTCATATAGAACCTTTCTGATCTCTTGTAAGTCAAAATTTTATGGACACAAAATATGTATTTATATATACATACATAAATATTTTTACTGTAACAAATTTGGTAGTCTGTATTCACACATATTTTTTACTTATAACATAAAGTTGTACAATTGTTTATAAAAGCAACCGACAATATGCTTACCCATATTTCATGTATGGGAACTACATTCAGAATGAGTGGTTGATTAAAAAAATGTGCCTATGAAACTAGTACTTGAACTTAGTCTATTTGAATAAAGACTATTTACATCCTATTGACTATAATTTTTGGTACTATTTACTGGGCAGTGAACTTGTTATGTCAAATAGCAGTTAGATACATAAAAAATAACAAAATCGTCCTGTATTTAGAGTAACCGATACAAAATTTTATTCCTTTTGTAATGTTATCTAAGCCAACTATTAGAATTAAATATTCTAAACAGATTATACAGGTACATAATAACTTACTTTTATAACCTGCATTAATAATAAGCTAAATACGAAACTTACCAGTCAAATTGCCGAATATGTTCCATTATTGGAAAAACATCAATTACGTTTTTATATAGCCAATAAAATACAAATTTAAATACTTTGTAATCTAATAATTATAGTCACAATGTTAATTAAATAGTGTAAAATGAATTTTATTTGATTTTCTATAAAATTTACAAAACGCAATTCAACACATGATAATATTGATTTTCCAATATATTTCATTCTACAAATTTGACAATTCACGAAGAGACATATGAGATGGACTGACGTATCGTATTTAACTGTCAATTTTGTTGTCAAAAACGATTGTTATCATTCATGAATCGAATCGATTAGAGTGGTTGTAAATCTAACAATAAAAAATAATTCAAAACAAAAAAAAACAAAAAAAGAAAATAAAAAGTATGGCACTAGTTCTTAAGTTAGGTTTAGTTTAGTTAATCAGATTTCTTCATATATAAATTCCCGCCCTACATACTTTTAACACAGCTACCAGTGGGGGGGTTCGCCCCGAGGCTCCAATGTTCATCCTCCTAGGGTGATCAATGTTAATCAGCATAAAGCAATAAACGTCATACCAAAAACTTGAGACTATTATCCCACATTTTGACTTTAGAACAGGGCACGATAATACAATTCTAAGTACAATATAATGTTTTATTTTTTTAGATGCTATTAAATTGTTTTCCGTTTCTTAAGTATATTGTGCGATCTCTGTTCATGTAAAAATATAGTAATAAAAGTTTCATATGGATTAAAATGTGCAGTAAATAGGCAGGTAGTTATTTAATGAAGTTCAAATTTTTATTCTGTTAATAAATTTAACAGCCTTACCTAGCATCAGTAATGTTAATCAAAGAAAACTTTTCTCTTAAAAATAATTATGAATTTGTTTAACTTTTTAAATTATTTTTATAAGCTAAATAAGCCGAGAAATTAAAATATTTGTAATACACCCTTGCGAAGAAGAAGGGTCGCTAGTTACTAATAAAAAACTTAGTTTCGGTTCTAATTATAGTTTCGGATAATTATTCCCGAACTTGAGTTTTATTGTCCAATTAAAACCGAATGCTCTGTCGAACACTGATACACGTGTGCGTAAATGGTATACTTCGAATTAATCCGATCGGTCTCCATTCTCATCCAACGGTAGGTAATCGAAATTACTGAGCCGAGGTTCGAAATTTATAGTGATACTCGCAGATTAAAGTTATATTCGTCAGACCTGTCTGATCAGGCGATCAGGAGGTCAATTCCTGTATAGGTCTTTAGCTGTTCTAAATGATTTTAATCGGGTTAGGCGTAGAAATTACTGAGCCGAGATTCGATTTCGTCGTATTGGTCAGACTGATCAGGTGATCAGATAGGTCTTGGTCCTGTTTTGGCCTTTATCTGTTCTAAATTTATTTCGTGAGTTTGGAGTGTCCCTGCTTTCGTTTTTATTTTCGTGCGGCGAAACTGTAATGGTCAGTTGCAGCCAACAGCAATAGATTAATTAGAAAAATACCATCTTTACAGATTATAATTAGAAAAACATCATCTTTACAGATTATAAAATGAAGTCGCTCCCGCTTTCTATTCGCTTAGATCTTTTAATTTACGGAATGGATTTTAATAAGGTTTTTAGTGATAGATAGAGTTATTAGTTTAGTTTAGTTGGTGTTAGTCAAGAGGAAAGTTTATATGTAATACATGTATACCCATGCGAAGCCGGGGCGGGTAGCTAACATAGTATAAAGGATGTATGAATCTAAGTAAATAATAAATATGATTAGGTACATATTATCCGCCTATTTGGCGCGAAATCTTTGTTTTGTGTAATTGCCTGTATTATCTGTGGTTGTAGTGTTCCCGCTCTAGTCCCAGGTATATTATCTGTGTACCTAAATAATAAATATGATTAGGTGTATTACCTTTTTTTTTCGGACTACTTTAATGTTGTTGGCGCAGCTGGCCTTTATAGCTTCACCGGACGTTAAGGGGCGAGTGCAGATGGCACTCCAAACCCGCGGAAGGACTTATGGAGCGGCTGAAGGCCAACTCCTGCCTGACGGATACGACTTTAGTCTGAGGGCATCGCTAGGGGTTCGAACCTCGGCTCAGGCCGTCGTAATTTCGATCCCCGTTTGAATTGGACGGGGGATCGACCCTATTTGGCGCGGAATATTTGTTTTGTGTATTTGCCTGTATTATCTGTGCTTGTAGTGTTTCGGCTCTAGTCCGAGGTATATTATCTGTGTACCTAAATAATAAATATAATTAGGTGTATTACCTCTCTATTTGGCGCGAAATATTTGTTTTGTGTATTTGCCTGTATTATCTGTGCTTGTAGTGTTTCGGCTCTAGTCCGAGGTATATTATCTGTGTACCTAAATAATAAATATAATTAGGTGTATTACCTGTCTATTTGGCGCGAAATATTTGTTTTGTGTATTTGCATGTATTATCTGTGGTTGTAGTGTTCCCGCTCTAGTCCGAGGTGTATTATCTGTGTACCTAAATAATAGATAAATATGATTTGATATTACCTGTCTATTTGGCGCGTAATCTTTGTTTTATGTAAATCGCCTGTCACACGGATTGAGACGTAAAGATTACGTTGGCGCGACTGATACCTACCTCCACCTGTCCCTTCTTTGGGTTTGACAGGTTTTTTATTGGATCCCTGCTTTCCTATTCAATAAGTTTCGGGTTTACATTACGCAGTTAACTGGGCCGTGAAATGTTTTACCCAAGTCTAATGTTATGTGTGATCATGCCCGCTCACTCAATTATAAGTATATTTAGGTTTCCTACTTTTCTATTATACTGGGAAATAGAAAATGTTGTAGCGGGTCATTGGGTCTAAAATATGATTGAACGCAGGTGGCTCATTCGTTATGTTCGTGATCGACAGAGACTGGTCTGCTCTAGTAGTGAGTACTAATTCTAATTTAATATCTAAATTTATTTATATACTAGCTGTGCCCGCGACTTCCTCCGTATGGTATAGTGACTTTGACGAAATATAGAAAATATATTTAGTTAGACACAAAAAGTTTCATCGTTCTATATAAAAATGTATCTAAGATATTGACCCAGGATGTAATTTACCTCCATGCAAAATTTCATTTAAATCGGTCCAACGGTTTCGGAGATTAGCCTGTACAAACATAAACAGACAGAGAAACAATGAAGTTGAAAAAATCTAAATGTGTTCCATTGCACTTCTAACGTCCTTCTCACTCGGTTTTTGGCGTTTTTCTTGGAATGTACCTACAGACATTCGACCTCTACTGTTTTATTATACGTATAGATAATGGCCTTCCTTATCCTTACCACTTAGGGGTATGAAAAATAGATAGTAGCCGATTTTCAGACCTACTTAATATGCATATAAAATTTCATAATAATCGGTCAAGCCGTTTCGGAGGAGTATGGTAACTAACATTGTGACACGAGAATTTTATATATAAGTCTTAAACCTTCACCACATACATACATAATCAGGCTGCATCAAACGTGTACCGTTTGATGCAGCCTGACTAGTAGATATGTGTATGTATGTGTTTACAAAAAAAAAATATCTCTCAGTTGTCTGGTACCCATAATACAAGTTCTGTTTAGCTTGGCACTAGATGGCGCTGAATTTTCAAGTTATAATTATTATATGTACAGACTAATAGGGAACTTTATTCAATTTTAAAGTCGTTCGAAAACACGAAAAGTGGAGGAAGTACTCGTAACTACAATGTATGTATTGCAGTAACATAGTAAAGACAAGTGTTTAGTTTATTAAATTCCCTGAGCTCTGGATAATATTATCTCCAGTTTGTTGTTCTTTATAAAGTTCAGCCGTTTATATTTTTAGTTCGTTTCAACTATTTACAGTTTTAAAAATTGAATTAAAGTATTGTGATAGTTTTATTTTTTATTGAGGCTTTTCGGCTATAGTCAGGTGCTTAGAGATGTAGCACGACGACCAATTGTGATAGAACTATATTACTTTTATCTTCGAGAAATTCATACTTTACATGATGTATATACATGATGGCTATATGTACATGGCTGACAATGTACAATGGGAAACAAATATACTTAAATACCATGCAATAAAAAATAAATAATATGAACTAATAAATGTATTAAGAAATAATTGCTATGTGGTCGAGAGCTAAAGGTATACCAGCGAAACTTTCAACAATCTTCTAATAGATCTTGGCCTGTTCAGAATTGTAGTAGTTTCTAGACTGGAATTTGTATCTAAAGCTATATTAGGTGGCAGGATTTATTTTAATCAATATTGAAACACGACTGTCGGAGTACGTACCATGAGTACCAACTTAACAATACTAAAGGGATGACCAAACAGAATCTATTGGACGGACAATGAACAGAGGCTGCCCATTGTGTCCGAATGTCTACGACGTATCCCGATAATTAATTAATAATTAAGAACACCCCATTATTCTTTTAATTTGAGTCTTTTCTTTAACGCATCGTCCATTGTTCTGCTATGTGTTAGATTAAAAAGGGAATCTACTAGATGGGTCCACGATTCACTTTTATCAAGCGATTTGGGATAGACAGATATTTCTCTTCAGTCATTACATGAAGGACAGGAGGAGGTTCCTTCCGCGTACATTTAGATTGTGGAATGAACTACCTGCCGAAGTTTTCTTACGAGATTACAGCATGGGGTTTTTCAAGAAGGGCATTGTTTCTATTGGCAAAAAACTGTGATTCCATTAATCTGCTAAGAAACGTTTCGGCTAACTCCAAAGTGAATTTTAATGCATCTTTTCTGTTCGCTGTCGGGGCCCGTTGTTGTTTAGTGTTGCCACTCTCTTGAACTATATTCTGAAACGAGATGACTCTATTTACACTTAGATTGTTCAATGAACTAGCTGCTGAGATTTTCTCGAGAGACTACAGCTTGGGGTTTTTCAAGAATAAAAAGTATATTAAGGTTTCTTATGGGTCGGCAACGCGCACGTAACACTTCTGGTGTTTTAGGCGTCCAAAGGCTACGGTATTCATTTACCATCAGATGGACCATATGCTTGTTTGCCACTATAGTAGTATAAAAAAACATTCCATTGGTTACGGGTTCGAGTCTTGCACGATATAATCACTCGTAAGTATAATCATTGTATTTTTTTAATATTTGTTATTAATTTTATTTATGTGTGTATAGTG